GGCGCTCTCATTGCTCGGGGTAGTTGGTTCAATGCCAACAAGCACATTCCGCTGAATGAGATTTTCTTCCGGACCACATTCGCTGCCGCACCCCTGGTTCAAATTGAAGAGGCAGTCAAACGGTTCGGAGCAGCGTTGAGAAAAATCTTCCAACTATGATGAGGTGATTGACGTTTTGAATTTCGCAGAACTAGAGAGAATCCGAGAAGGAGTAGGCGGAGAACAATGATGAACGTGAAAGTGAAGCTTTTTGGGTAATAGAACTATGAATATGTATAGCTGTGCTCATTCAAGTCGCTTTAGAATACGCTTGGTTCTGGTTTCAACGAAAGACCTCTAGGCAAAAGATGAGATTGACCGATGACTATTGCTGCGGCACATGGTCATCGATGGGAATGGCCTCACAAGCGAATTGGCCTCAGTGGGGATATTGGTGACATCGGACTCAGCCAATGGAATCTTACCCTGGGTTGATAGGGGGCTCAGGCTTACAACCGCTTTACCACCCATTCGATACTTATGTAACCTCTTAGCCTGATGAGAAAGTGGAATGGACCAATCTTTATGCTCGATTTCTCCTGAATATATTCGCTTCTAAATCCACGTATCCAAGGTTTCTCGAAAGCTTTGTACTAGGGCAAAATCTCCTCAACAACACCACCGCCACCAGAAGACCAAACTGCTAGAAACCGCTCCGATGGCTCAGAGGGATCAGGGACGAGCCCTTGCCCCCATGGATTGCACCATAGACTCAACACGCCTCTTGGACTTGCCGTTGGAATGCCTTGATCAAATCTTCGAAGACGTCGTTGCGTACGATGAGGAGAGCGAGTTCAATTTGAGAGATGCAACTCGTCTTCTACGTGTATCGAGTGAGTGTCCTCCCATCACGGCCAATAAGTTCACGCCTTCAGAATCAGCCATTTTCTTGTAGCAGGGCTAATTGAACGTCAGAGCTATTCGAGATCATTGTCATGAGAGCCATCTACATAACCAAACTTCTTCACAAGATGAGGCGCAATCCAGAAGTCGGCATTCTTGCCAAGCAAGGCCACTCGCACATGGCCTCACCCCAGTGCCGCGTGCAACATCGCGGCAATGCAAGCTTCTTCCTGGCAAAGTACCTCAAGATCCAGCCATATCTTCATTTACCGTGGAGTACAAGCCTAGCTACAGTGATCAACGCCATCACTGATAGGACAATACGAGATGATGGCTTGAATCTCGACAGCGAAGAACGGTACAGACGCATCCATCATCTTTGCAAACAAGCGGTCCATCTTCTAGATGCAGTCAAACATTATGGAGTTTGGGACCTCTTCAGTGACCATTTTCAAAAGCTGCTTTTTCCTTCGGAGACGGATCCCGTCGTCACAAATGAGCCATTCGAAGACCTGCTATTCCTTGCCAAACTCTATCTGCAATCAGAAGACGCGGAGAGGCTTGTACTATCCCAGATCCTGAACAAAGGTCCTAAATCACTATCTTTTATTGGGACGGCAAAATCTCGGGATGGAAAATACGCTGCTTCTTCGCTGCTGGGATCAGTCATGGAAGCTGCGATCAGGAGTGGCAGTTCGAACCTCGCTGTTCTTCTGATTAACTACGAGATCAATACTTCACGTGAAAAGATAACGAAGACGGTCCGAGGAAAGAAAATAAAGGGCGTCAGATTTTACGATATTCACTTCTGGAGGCTAGCCATGGCTTTTGACGACCTGGAGACTATGAGTGCTCTTTTGGATGCCGCAGACCGAAGAGTACCGAGCAAGGCTTTGGGTCAAATTCTTCTGGAAGCTGTGTGCGCGCCTCAGCTAGAAATACTCCAATTGATATTGGATGACCAAATGCCGCTTCGCAAGAAGGGAACCACTTTCAAAACCTATTACGGCAGTAACAGGAGGAATGAAAGGTTGAAACATGCCATTGACACGTGTCTCGAGGAGGCCGTCAACCATGGGCATTCTATGGTGTTCAACGTACTTGCACACACGCCTTACGCTCTAGAAAGACACTTTTACCAGCATAGCTGGAAAAAGAAATGGGGGTTCGACCCTTCGATTCAGTCGACTTCAGATTACTGCCGCCCCGCCAGGTCACTTATTGAGGTCGCTGCTAGTCGCGGAGATGAGGTAACCATCCGTGAGTTGCTCTCCAAAGGACATGGCCCTTTTGGACTTAGGGACAACGCAAAACCTCACCATTGGTTAAACCCATACCACCGCCTCAGCCACCTCCGTGGTCTCATGCCAATGATTGCCGCTGCGAAGAGTCGGCATGCCGGCGCCGCGCTTGCTCTGATCAGGGGACACTTCAAGTGTGATGCAGTCAGGTGGCTGTTGATCATCGGAACGGTCCTGGAAGGCAGAGACCAACAGCAACCCCACAGACGACATGTCAAACCGAAACCATCTTCTACGTCAAATATTGATGCAGACAATGGAGAACGGCGGGTCCAGCGTGACAGAGATGTCAAATTTTGGCAGGAGTTGATCGACGCAGGGGTTCTGGATCTGCAACATTCTGCCAAAGGATGCCAATGTTCCGAAACACCAATGGCAATGGCGGCGACTCATCCCACCCGTATGGCAATAGAGGCTGCCAGAAACTTCGTCTGCGAGCGGCTCGTCATTCCTTCCGATGCCGAATACCGTGAATGTGGAGACCAGTCGGACGCTGGATGGAACCCACGGCAATTTCCCGAGGATATAAGAACACCAACTGGTATTATATTGTCCTAGCAGCGAATTGATAGGGAAGCTGAAAAGGAAAGGAAGTCGTAGATGTCTGCTATAATGAAGTATGAATCAGAAACAACTTGACCCATCATTCTTTGCTTCATGGCCCACAATCCAAGGTTCTATCCAAAACTTCTTGAACACGCGTATGCATCATTGAGCAGATGCTAGGAACAAAGCAAGCTCGCATGAATAGATGTCATCATATCCCTTGGGGTACCTGAATTCCAGTTTGTGTTCATTGAACTTCGTCTGATGTTGCTACCCAAATGAGGAAGCTATGTGAGCTTGAGACTCGATCAATTTTCATTACACATATATGGAGTCGGCGAAGCTACGATGATCATTTCCCCCTTTTGTTCATAAAATCCACGAAGTCCATGCCGCCCAATCCTACGCCAAAACGAAACCTCGTCAACGGTTGCTGCTTCAAATGAGGTGGGTGACATCTGAGACGTAGCGCTTGTTGGCCTTCTTCGCTGCCTGACCACACTGGCCAGCGATAGCAGTCGTCTTGCCATTGACGGCACACTGGCCGTTGGCGTTGCAAGCACCAGCCCCCTTCCCATCGGTGCAGGCCAAGCCAGAGAACTCGGCTTGGGACTTGCCCTTGCCCTTGGCAGCGTTGGCGTTGCCTGCATTCGCGTTGCCAGCGTTGGCATTGTTGCCCGCATTGGCGTTGTTACCAGCGTTGGCATTCTTCTTCGCGTTTGCATTCTTCTTTGCCGCATTGGCGTTCTTCTTCTTGGCAGCAGCGGCAGCGCCGTTGTTCTTCTTCGCGGCCGCCGCAGCACCGGTATTCTTCTTTGCCGCGGCAGCGTTGGCGGCGTTCGCCTTGGCAGCGGCAGCGCCATTGTTCTTCTTGGCCGCCGCTCCGGCAGCCCTCTTCTTCTTCGCTCGGGCCTCGAGGTGGGCGGCGTCGTTTGCGACGAAGTCCTCTGCACGGACTTCGATCGGGAGGGCAACATCGTTTCCTTGGACCGCGGGGGCTGGGGGACCGTATTAGTACACTTAGGCTCGTGGGATTGGAACGTAATCAAGGATGAGCTTACCAGAAATGACGTTGCCAGCCAAAAGGCCAATGGCAAAGAAAGCGGCAGTTGAGAACCTCATGTTGACTGTAAGGTTGTATTGGTACTTCGTGACAGTGAGTGGTATTCTTTGTGCAAGTGACACCAGGTCTTAATGAATGAGAGCTCAATTAAAGAGAGCCGCGCACAGCACGGAATGAATGTAATAGTAAGAAGTAGAACGGAGATAGCCAGATAGACGCTCAAAACAGAAGAGAACCCTCTGCCGGAGCTGGAGATTCTCTTCATGTTCTTATGTATGTTGAGATCCAGTCCTCGATGGTATGCCACCACCACATGCTCAATGCTTACATACAGACTTTGCTGTCACACCCTGAAACTCCGGATGGCGGTGTCACCTGAGCACCAGTGCACCACTACGTTCAGCAACACTCCAGATGAGTTTCTTTGACTCGAGATGACAGCCATGAGCCTCATCCTGCAACAAGACCTGTTCAGATGCCTGATCATCCCGTCACATCAGCAGTTCAAACGAGGCTTATTGTGCCGCAGACCAGGGTAGCCCCGGCTCTTCGGCACACCTCGAAGTCGGTTAGGTCGGACTCCCCTCCAGGGCCTTCACCAATCTTGTCGCAAAACTTGTCCGCATCGCCGTTTCAAGCTTTAAAGTTAATGCAGCTTGGGCTACAATTGGACCGCAGATGGGACCAGATTTTTTCCACAGGTCTCGTTGCCCAGGGCCCCTAGCGGGCCTCGAGACCAGATTCAAGCTTGTTCTGCCAAACGCGAACCCCCGCACTTCTGGGTTTCGCTCTGCATGATTTTGAAAGAGGCCCGGTCTCTCTTGACAAGAGCCAATTGTTGGGATAACGTGGGAACCCTACTTTAAGCTTGCTGCCTTCCCGTATTAGAAATGACGCTTGTTTTGGGGTGACCTCTGACCTCTTGGTGGTCAGGGATTCCGGAAGCGAGGCCGTCTTCAAACGCGCGATGTTCTAGGAGCAGACTCTTGTTTTCGCCAAGAGCAGAACAGAAAAATGGACTCCCCCGGAATCGTGCATTATTCTCCGGTCGAGGGCTGGCCTGGGAGTGTCTTTGCCTAGAGGGGATCGGGGCCGCCGGCCACCGACTTTGTAGTGATCTACAGCCATTTGTCACGGAATGACTCGAATCACGGTTGGATTTCTTGGGTGAATAAAAATAATCACAAACGGCCACCTCAACGATTGAATCATTTGCCTCGCTGAATTCTGTTTCCGCGGCGCAGTCCTCGGCCTCCCCCAGATAAGTCCCATCTTCTCCAAAAGTTGATCGTCCAAACCCGTCTTAAGGATGTGTCATTAACGCTCTCATTCCAGCTCATTTTGACTTGCGCCGACTTTGCGACGAGTCTGGGCGATGTGAGAATCAGGAGCTGAGGCCACACAGCCACAGCCCACCAATGCCACCTGATCTTACTCTGTCGCGCTATTGTTGTTACAGAGTGCAGACTGCAAAATTGTCGCTCTCGGTAGAGAATGTGCCTATCCTTGCCTGGCCCCCAGCTCCTGAACCTGTGCCTGTATCAGGTCCGCGGCAAGTTTTGCCGTGGACAGGATCGTGTTTCCGCATCCTGGTAACGATCAGGAGAATTATTCTGAGCCACTGTAGTGCTCAATTCCCCAATCATAGAGGTGATTCTCAATTCCAGATGAGGTAAATTTTCTTGGCATAACAATTTTAGGAATTTTAGCCTGGCGAGTTCCTAGACCTCGTTCTCTTGACGTCAGGACAGACTTACTGTTCGCTAAACTCAAATCGATCCACCGGCCCAGGTGATGCACCTTGGCACCATAGATTTACACAAGCGGAAGCAAATCGTCAGTCAACCCCAGTGTCGTTCACCTTGGCGTTGCAGGAAGATCAATTGCGTGAAACTTAGTCACGTGCAACCGCCGTTTTCGTATAGTACTCTCAACACATTGTCAACTTGAACAGCCGCCGGTCGAAGTAGCATATTGCATCGTTCCACCGTTCTCCTGCCTTCAAAGACACCTACCTGGAACGAAATGCAAAGATTAGTGCACGTTTTTCACCCATTTAGTAGTAAACTACTCAACTCGAATGATCAATCATTGCTCCGACACCACATGTGATTTCACCCGAGCATATCACTTGAGTGCACTCTTGCCACACTTTTTTTGTGTTCATTCACTCAAGGAAAGAATGTTTTAACTCGGCGATGCCTTTACCTGCTCCTCAACCTCAAAACTCAAGTAGTCGGGACGAAGCTTCTTGCTTCGGTAAAGGTTGAATTTCTTCACCATTAACCGCAAAATGGGGTCGCACTTGCAAACAAACCAATCAGCAGTATGCGTTGACTCACGATGGCTTCCATTCAGCCGATACCAGATCTGGTCATCGGAGGCCAAGCTCTCCCTCCGGTGTGATAATATACATTTTAGATCTAGACGACGGGTAAATGTTATGGCAAAATCGTTGCCGCTGCAAGAGCGGGACGGCTTGCAGATCTTAACTATCGAGGGTATTTCTAGAGATTGCAGTGCCGCTGTACCCCAGATTTCGTCGGGCGACACACCAAAATGTGTGATTTAGCCTGAGTTCCATCTCCCGGTGCCAAGGTCCCAAGTGCTTAGTGTACCAAACTTGGAAGGCAACTGCCGCGTAGCGCCGAACTTGTCACGAGGGCGTTTCTGTAATCACCCAGTCATGTCAACATCTTCTGTCTCAACCGCGATAAAGTCATTGGGTGTAAGACGTATCGATGCGATTGCTGTCAGACACGTTTAGCCTCATTTCGCCCAATTCTTCCTGTCCAGTCAGACAAGAATAGCATCCGACTTCACATTATAAAAGAGGCATAGATCCGGTAGTCAGCAGTAGCAGAACAATCCTAACTCAACAATTGAAGAATAGTAGAATCCATTGATCAAACAGAGCCACCACCATGGTTTCCTTCTCCAGAGCGCTTGTTACGTTGGCGACTGTCTTCGGAGCCATTGCCAGTCCTACCGGGGAACTGATCGAGAAGCGACAATCCACTCCAAGCTCGACCGGATACCACAACGGATACTATTATTCGTGGTGGACTGATGGAGGGTCCCAAGTCACTTACACTAACGGCGCTGGCGGCTCCTATAGCGTCAACTGGGGAGGCGGCGGCGGCAACTTTGTCGGAGGCAAGGGTTGGAACCCGGGAGGCTCCAAGTAAGTCTATATCTCTTATGACATACATCATCTCTAATCGGTTGATCTTTTAGGACCATCAACTACTCTGGCACTTACAACCCCAATGGAAATAGTGTAAGTAAACGCGACAGGAATTAAAGAGTCGACGGTGTGCTGGTGCATCTAAAACTGACCTGTTTGACAGTACCTGGCTGTCTACGGCTGGACTCAGAACCCTCTGATTGAGTACTACATTGTCGAAAACTACGGCACCTACAACCCAGCTTCCGCTGCTACGAAGAAGGGTTCTGTCACCAGTGACGGCGGCACCTATGACATTTATGTCAGCACCCGCGTCAACCAGCCCAGCATTGAGGGCACCAAGACCTTCCAACAGTATTGGTCCATTGTAAGTCCCCTGTGTCCAAAGTCTCCAGACTAGTCACAGTACTAGAGAAATTCGGACTAACGATATATCCAACAGCGAACCTCCAAGCGCACTGGCGGTACTGTAACAACTGGCAACCATTTCGCGGCCTGGGCATCAGTCGGGCTCAACCTCGGAACCCATAATTACATGATCGTGGCCACCGAGGGTTATTACAGCAGCGGATCGGCTAGCATTACCGTCAATACTCCTGCTTGATGATTGAGACTTGATGGTCGGGAGGCGTTATCTGAAAGACAACTTTCACCTGGTTTCAATTCCGGTGAGCAATACCGTCTTTCAGGATGTTGGAGCTGCCAGCTCCCAGTTTCTTTCTGCTGTACATATGCTCCATTCTTCTGAACACATTCAACAATTGGTACGAAGTAGTGTACATAGTCTTCCTTCCAAGAACACGATGGAAGTTTCAATCCACTCTCTTAAGCTGAGAAAGGCAATTCTGCGATGATGATTGACTACTGTATAAGAGATCTTGTGTCGTATATTTTGCAGAGAAGTGCTACAGGGAGTGAAAGTATTTACAGTGAAACATTTGTGGTGATTGATGTTGAGATGAAAAAAAGTGTAGAATGTAATGAAGGGACTGGCGGTACGCGCCGGGATGGCCGTACACATCTCCAGACATCAAAAGTTGTGTTAGCACCAATCATTCCGAGGTACTCAAGGAGACCCGTTGATAGCTTCTTCCTCGGCCTTCTTCTCCGCGATCGCTGCAGCCTCATCAGGAGCAATGTTGACAAAGGCCTCAGTGGTATCAACATTCTCTGCCTGGGAGATTGCATCCGCGCGAGCTCGGCCATACCATCTGCCAATCTGGCCTCGCTTCTCAAACTCCAAGCCCCGAGCTGCAGCGCAGACGGGAGGCTCAATGAGCACGCCGGTTTGAGGGAATGGTTCGAGGGGACCCCAAACATTGCCATCATCGTCAGCGCCGACGCCCTTCGTCAGGAACTCCATCTGAGAGAAGTCGTATGAGACTGGCGGAACACCAGGCACATCTTGCTCTCCGGGGACCCACACGTTGACAGGCTGGACGTATGTCCCGGCAGTGATTCCGTTCTTGGTCACGCGGGTCTTGGCCACTCCATCAATCTCAGCGGTGACTCGGTACTCTCGGGTATACCTGAAGAGGATGTTGTTGCGGTATTCAAACTTGTTCTGAGCATTACGGCCACCGCGAAGTCCCATGGAGGCAATGATGCGGTCGGTAGTCGCGCCTGTACAGGGATCAACGTCCATCGCGTACAGAGAGACTGTGGCACGGTTGTTGGAGACAAAGCCGATGAACTGCAGAGGGTCAATTGTCAGCAATTTGACCAATATGGCTAGGACATGTCGAGTTGATCGTACTTACTCGAGACTCCGCAATTTCAGCATTGGGATTTGGGTTGTCAATTCCTAGCAGACCAAGTTCCATTCTCACGTAGACGACATCGCCGAGAGTATTGATCTGCACGTTCTGCGCCACAATACTGAAGGCAATGACCTCAGCGCCTCGACGGAACCCGGAAAAGGTGATGAAATCGCCGGCTTGGAATGGAGCCATTACAACTGGGTCAGGTGCCGTACTTTTTTCAAAGTCAGCTTGTTGTCTGGACTTCTATGGCGATATCAAGGGATAAAGTGACTTACAAGGTGCCCGGCCCGACAAAAGGTCGGTTGCTCAAAGGACAGAGAGGATCAGTCCCATTGCGCGGAATGCACATGGGAAACCCCGAGAAAGACGTGATACTGGGACTCTGATCATCCGCAGTCATCAACGGCGCGCCGGTATAGCCCTTTGAGAAAACAGCATTCGGGTCTGAAATCCTGACGGTTGGCCCGTTCTGGATCTTGAGACTTCCATCCGCAAAGTCTACAGACTCAACAAAGCCACTGCTCAACCCTTCGAAAAATTCGTAGAGTTGGACTTGAGCAACACGAGGCTCTCCGTTGATGCTATTTCCAATGACCTATACGCGGATATCAGTAATGCTCTCTTTGACTTTGAGATGCATGCCCGATATCTATACCAAAGTCTCATATCCGGTGAAATCCGCCTTATTGGCGACAAACTCTTTCCAGGGCACCCAGGCAGCTGGAAACTGTACCAGAAGGTTCTTTGGCACATTGACGGTAAAGCCATTGACGACAATTGTCCCGCCTGTGTTGAAGGCATCGTCAGTTGCAGTCGCGTCTTCAAGAGCACCTTGAACCCAAATAGGGGCCTCTTGAGATGCTACAGAAGCCACCAACAGGAACCAGATAGCGATAAAGACATGGAGAAGATGCATGATGACTTGAGTTTACTGATAAGATGGAAAGTTGATGCTTGTGATTGGGGATATTCAGATCGTCGCACGGAAATCGTCGTCATTTTATCACAAGTCTCAAAAGGTACTTCCCACCTAAACTTTCGAGAGTCTTGAGAGCAATCCCAATCAAACTGTGTCCCTACTGGAACTTTCTTTCATGAAGGAAAGTGAACTGTGAACGACAGAGGATGAGGTCGTAGACCCAATGTCGATACCCGCGTCGACGACCATTGCCAAGATTGAACCATCACTTTCTCCCGTCGCTTCCTTCGATGGACTGTCTTGGCCTTCTAGCAGACGCAAGTGTTTTCTCATCACGACAACTATAGGCGGTGAATGACACGCTGCAGCGTGACTCTGCGGACTTGACATTCTCGACCCGGGAAAGCCGACGCGGGCAACGGTATGTTGTGAGGCATCCGTATTACTCCGATCACCGGATAAGTCTGCAGGATATCATGAGTATTGGATTTACGAGGATTCTCAAGATTCAGAGAACGTTGACCGCCAGGCAGACAGGCCGGCGTAAAGGTACCCCATCTTGAAGTCCATGTCAACCTCCCTAGGAAGCCCGCTCCGCCGTCTTTGCCAAGACATGAAATTGGTTGAGTGATTTCGTCCTGGCCATGCGCGTGACTAGATTACGTGTAATGACCCCTAGATGCAGTGCTGTACCCTTACATCGTGGAAGTGACCCCAAGTGCGGTGCGCAATGAGAACTCCAGGATGCGGCTCCACTACGTGCAACTCTCCCGCATGGTTTAGGTCTCGGGCCTGGTTCCGCGAGGTGCACTACGGGTCTATAATTGGCGACCTATGCCGGGGTTGGAATCGGGTTGAGAGAGAACCGAGTCGTCAAAACCTGCCAGTCCGGCATCCTGATTCAAGAATCCCGGGAGCGGGGAAGTTGCAACGGCTGGGGGAATGCAACCCAGGATCCCGGACCGGCTCAGACTCTTGGTCATTTCTGCCGATGGGTGAGTACCTACATGTAAAGTCTCGAGACTCAAGAGGAGGCTCCCGAGCGATCCTAGCACAGCTCATGGAACGTAAGCTTGGACTACAATTGGCGAGCATCTCATTGGTGGTCGTAACTACAAGGACGGAAAGGTCGGGGCTATTGGTGACAAGGGTGCCTTACTTATGTTAGTCGCAGATAATCGCCTAAACTTTCGTCACGCAAGAGATGCATGCAGGCGCAGCCAGTCGTCTCAGCTCTCATAATCTGATCTCGTTGGATACATGCTTGTGACCTAGCCAAGAAATTGTAGGCACGGGTCACCCCGCGCGCCTACAAGTTACACCGAGCAGAAACACCACCAAAAGCATTATGGCGATCCAACGAGGGTTCACAGGACTACAAGGGAAAGAATCGCGCCTGGTAATGACGACTAGACGAACTGAGTGCTGAGCACAAAACGGTTGCGGCGTGTTGAGACGCCCATCGTCCGACGTTATCCCCGGTCTAAGTTTTTACAACTTCACATGCTATGGGCTGGGTTGCAGTTATTGCCGACAGACTATACCAGGCTAGTTAAAAGTTGCCGTCCCTCGACGGTGATGCTACATCTTGGCAATGGGAATAATAGCCAAGCAACTGCTTCAGTAACCGCTGTGCCAGACAGGCATTGCACCCGCATCGAGCCTTGAATCATGGGCGGGCCCAAGACTCGCTAAGGGATCTTTACGCGATGCTCCACCCACGGGGTTAGAGCCCATTTCAGGAGAAAATGCAGTCTTCTGAGTTCTGAAGTCTTCGTCGAGAGCTCTCGCCTTTGGCCGTTGGTAGTTCCCGAAGGCGATTGAATCTCAAAAGCGGAAATGCCCACATATCAACCTTGCAGTATCCCCGCGTATTGCCTGCGGGAGCCATGGGTCTTGACCGGCCACTCCCGCCAAGGACTACCGTGAGAACGGGTCTAGAGCACGGTTAACATTGCCACCTTCCTCTCTGAAAAAGCGACCGCAACCTCATTGCTCCATGTTCCCGGCTCTACATTCCTCTCAGGGTTGTTATATCTTTTCCCCTTTCAAAGTTGGCAGAAAGTGCGGGCTGGTGGTGGCGTGGCCTGGTTGCAGTGAGGATGCATGACGCGACCCATCGTGTTGGACACTCTTGGCGAAAGAGGGCCGGCTTTCCAACTTACTCGAACCCTTGGATTAACATGAACAGAATGTGTCATCTTTCGGATGTTTTCTCTTATTGATTGCAAATGCTTACAAGAAAGGAGTAAATGCGATCCTTCGATGACTCTGAGATTTATTCTGATAGAGCACATACGGTAATGTGACATACATCTAGATTTGGATTTCGAGAGCTTCAACAGAAATCTTTGGAAATATGTTTTTTTCTAATATCAGACAGCTTGATGAGATCGCATAGATCACATTAATATGTTCAAACAACGACTTTAAGATCTAATTTGATCCTAGTTAAGTTGGCTAATAGAGTTGCGGGTTGGCCGATTACCTCCTGTGATAAGGTTAAGACAGCCCTTCCTCGACCCCTGAACCACAGTCAGGGGAATCAGACCGAAAGATTCCACGTTCCTGAGGCCCCTGCCGACCAAAAACGGCTCTACGAGAAAGGGGATGCGGGATTTACGAAAACCCATGCTAGGCGCGCGGGGGAGACAGTTGTCGATATCAAAGCGTCACCGAGTCGACATTTACGATGCCATCTCCGCCTCTAGAGGGCCTGGAGGGGGGAAGGGGTCAATTTAACCCGAAGGAGCAGAGTAGCAGTCGGATTGTCTCCATTCCGAATGCAAGAGGAACTCGTTTCTAGATCGACGCTTCATTTTAGGTGCTTATCATCAAGGCTTTCTTGGAGGGGCGGATAGACTAGTCAGCGTTGCTATGGCTCTTGGCAGGAGGTCGGACCATGATCCCCGCCATGGCGGGCAGCTTCGGCCTGACAGAGAGCAGCGGGCCATATGGGAGGAGCCGGATCCAGATCCGCAAAGAGAATACGAGTAAATTTTCGGCTTTTGTCGAAAAGCCAAAATTATTGCCGTGTCAGGTTCAAGTACACAGTCAAGATGCTTAGAAGATCTAGGATTATTGTTCCGGTCATACTCGGTTGCTGACTGAACCTCTATGGAGAGCAGAAGTGTGACTTGTTCCATTGTATAACTACTAAGTCAGCAACTAGGAGATCTAGGTAACGCTTCATGAAAGGTATGATGTCAAATACAAGGTATGGTTTCTCAATCGGAGACCCAGATGATAGTTACACACCTGATATCGCCGGCCTTAGACGCCCGTCACCTACTTTCCGTCTCATTTCACGTATCATTGTAAGGGCATTCTGTTGTCAGACCAAGGTCCTTCGACTCTGAGCAAGCACGAGTCTCTGCCAAGTCATATTAGCGCAATAGCGTATCATTCTTCCAACACTGCCATCTTGTTAGCGAGGATACATCTCATTGTACCATCATACAGAGCCTCCAACCGTGTTCGCCAAGCTACGTGCTCGTGCACCACCTCAGCAACAACCAGTCCAACATCGATACCACTCTCGAAATGAAAGGATCATGAGGAATGATACTTGTGCCAATGCTACCTACTCTGAGGCACTCAAGGAAATATCAACCCACTCTCTTCGTCTGTGGGTCTTCGAGAGTTGCCGCTACCTTGCGCAATAACATCGGATCCACCACATTGGATGAGGGACATTGTAAGCATTGCAAGATAATCGGCTCAGTGGCGATGTAACTGAAATGATATGTGTGTGTGCGCGATTTCTGCAGTTGATGCCATCACGTACATCGGCCATTGATTTCCTATCGCAGTCTTCAAGGCGAGTCTCTTGCAGAAAACTTGCATCAGTCACAAGGCATGCATCAGCTTCACGACCGGATTACCGGAAGGGGACTGGAAGATTTCTCTTTGTTCAAATCCTATCCGACTTCGGAGTGGAAGCTGAAGTGGTTCTGAGTCCTGAATCGGCAAGGTTCTTTGGTCTTTTCTTTTGCTTGATCTTGTCTCCTGATTCTCGTATAAGATCACCCGCTCCGCTTCATATCCAACAGAATCTCTTGCTCGACACACATTCCTAGACCCGAATAATCTGATCTTCTAGTCACTGTTCTCCTCCTTCCTACAACATGCGGTTCCAACTGACCGTGGCGCTCGTACAAGCGGCGCTCTCCGCCTGCCTCGTTCAAGCTCAAAACTCTTCATTCAGTGATACACACATCTCTCAAATTCCCGAGGCAGAAGTTGTAGCCCTAGCTCAAATTGTAGAAGATGACCCGGAGGATGTCTTCACTCTTCTCAAAGATTGGGAAAGCCCCGAGTATGCCTTGATTTACAAGGTGCCTCTGCCCATTCCTCCTGTCAAGGAACCTACCAAGTACGACTATCGGATATCTTTCTGTTTAGACGCTGTTTTCCTGACATATCTCACAGAAAGATCATCAACCCAGTCACTAACAAAGAGATCTGGTACTACGAGCTTGAGATCAAGCCTTTCAGTCAGGCGATTTATCCCAACTTGCGCCCTGCAACTCTGGTGGGCTACGACGGCATCTCTCCGGGACCGACACTGATTATTCCTCGCGGAACGGAGTCTGTCGTCAGATTCATCAACAACGCTGCTGCCGAGAACTCGGTTCATCTGCACGGATCTTACTCTCGTGCCCCTTTTGATGGTTGGGCGGAAGATATCACCAACCCAGGAGAGTACAAAGATTACTACTATCCCAACCAACAGTCGGCGAGACTGTTGTGGTACCATGATCATGCAATGCATCTTGTAAGTCCTCCATAGCATGATGAAAATATAGGTGTAAGCTCTAATTCGAACCCACAGACCGCTGAAAATGCCTATATGGGACAAGCCGGAGCCTATCTGATCACGGATGAGGCGGAGAACGCTCTCAACCTGCCTTCTGGATACGGCGTCTACGACATCCCTCTTGTTCTCTCTGCGAAGCAATACAACGACGACGGTACCTTGTTCTCAACCAAGGGTGAGACTGACAGTCTCTGGGGCGATCTGATTCACGTCAACGGCCAGCCCTGGCCGTTTCTAAATGTTGAGCCGCGAAAATACCGATTCCGTTTCTTGAACGCAGCGATTTCCCGCGCTTTTGCGCTATACCTTGTTAACTCCAATGCTGTGAACGGAAAGCTGCCATTCCAGGTTATTAGCTCCGACAATGGACTCTTGGGGAAGCCGGTGCAAGTCGCAGACCTTGTAAGTTTTACCCGTAGTATTTGAGTAAAGACGCAAACTTGCTGACTCTTATTTAGTATGTCTCACCAGCTGAGCGGTATGAAATTGTCATCGACTTCGCTCAGTACGCTGGCCAGAGACTCGAAATCAGGAATTTTCCCAAGGCTGGCGGCATCGGCGTCGAGGATGACTACTTGCATACCGACAAGGTAATGCAGTTCGTCGTCGGTACGACCTTATCCAGCCCCGACACATCCACCGTTCCAGAGGTCCTTCGCACTGTTCCCTTCCCAACATCAACTGACAACGTAATCGATCACCATTTCCGATTCCATCGTACCAACGGCGAATGGCGCATCAATGGTGTAGGCTTCGCCGATGCGGAGAATCGCGTTCTCGCCAACGTCCCCAGAGGCAAGGTCGAGATTTGGGAGCTTGAGAACAGTTCGGATGGTTGGTCTCACCCCATTCACGTCCACCTTGTCGACTTCAAGGTCATCGCTAGAGACGGTGACCGCGGTGTGATGCCCTACGAAGCAGAGGGCTTGAAAGATGTTGTCTGGTTGGGCAGAGGCGAGTCTGTCCTTGTTGAGGCCCACTACGCCCCCTGGGACGGCGTTTACATGTTCCACTGCCATAATCTGATCCACGAGGACAGCGATATGATGGCCGCCTTCAACGTTACTGTTCTTCCAGAATTTGGATACAACGAGACCAAGTTCATTGATCCCATGGAAGCGCGCTGGAGAGCAAAGCCGTACCTCATGGCTGACCTTCGTACTCGAGCTGGATCCTTCTCAGACTCGGCCATTGAGGAGGCAGTGCAGGCTATGGCCGCTACTGACCCGTACAGCAAGGTTGACGACGTTTACAAGAACCTCGATCAATACTGGGCATCGCATGTGAGTAAGTAAGGTGGAGTTGAAGCGCCTATATGCGCATTGATTCTTTTACATTCCTGTTATTTTCCTTGGCCGGTAGCTTCTACGTTCTTTACTACTTCCACTTGCTCAACATTATCAGCTTCCTGTAAATACGTAGACATTAGCATGATTTGCCTCACGTACTCATAAGCTTAGCAATCATTGATTATCCGGTAGTTATGACCATGAATTGAATTATTTCTGTCTTCCATGGCGTGAACTCTCTTCTAGATGTAACTTTCGCTCGGGAAAGCGGTGTGCACAAGAGTAGCCTTCATTGCGTTTGCCTCACTGTCCTCATTACTGCAAAGTTTCAAACAGGAGAAGCTATTTGGCTATTGGCCTTGTTATGTGAATGCCATCAGATCAATGTGATTGAGACCGGAACTACCAGGCCTTCTGACGAGATTACGCTTCCGCCTAGTACAGGACGGGCGACAGTGTCACTATGAGAAATGGCCCGAATATCATTTTGATCAATGCGCAGATGTTGACAATGCTTCACTAGATTCTGCTCGACTACCGCAAAGTCAATGGGCAAATCCCCCCACCGGTCCAGTTTGGACTTACACTGGTTGGGCATAGTGACCCGCCCCATCCTGGGACCGCCAGACCTTATTCTTTGACACGTGTATACTTAGTACTTGATGGTCTAGATTCGCAGCACTAGAGACACTCTTGCCTGTTCCCATACAAATTTTGCCATGAAAATATCAAGCAGCCTAGAGCCTGAGTTGACTTGTTGATTCTAGTACGCGTAGAGATTGACTGCTTCATCTTGGGTGCTTCTGATCTTCCTGTTGGCGCGTTTCAAGACGAATTTCATAGCCCATCCTGTTAAGACCACGCCTAGGGAGAAGGCGATGCTAGCGACCATGGCTCTACGAAAAAGGGGGCTGTCACTATCCGGCCATAGATAAGGGGTGTAGACAAAAGACAGATTGCCAAACGTATTGACAATGGCGATTGCGGCAGCTTTCTTTTCGTCAGTCTGACCGACCGTGGCTGATGTCCACGCGACTAGAGTAACGCGTTAGTTCATGCCCATCGAGTCAAGACGCCCGGGTCAAGCAAGTGACGATTACCATTAATATTGTTCACTCCATACGTAGCCGCCACAAACAGAACCATAGCAAAGTATCGTGCGCCGATGTTCATCGTACTTGTTGCTACCGCGAAGCCGACGATCGCGACTGCCTTGGAACCTGTAATGTGCCAGGTACGTTCGTTGAACCTTCCTGAGGACCACGACACCAGAACTGACGTCGCTCCCCCGATTAGATACGGTGGGCAAGTGAGTACCAGCGTTGTTGTGGTACTGAAGCCAAGTGACTTGACAGCTGTCGGCAAGTAGTTTTTGAAGTTATTTGCCGAGAGGTGAAGATTTCCCATGAGCGCAAAAACCCAGGTGCGATAATCTGTGACGGCTTCCCAGAGGCCAGACCAAATGCTGGTTCCCTGTCGTTTTTCTGTTGTGTCCTTCGCAACCCGCGAATGAGCCAACTCGCGTTCTTCCTGAGTGAGCCATCGCGTTTGGAGCGGGGCATTAGGAAGCACGAAAAAGGCCACCACGGCAACACCAACTGTATGGTAATACTGTCAGACTCTGGGGTCGGGTCATCTTCTGCATTGTTTAAGGCGAAGTCTTACTTGTGACGACACCTTGGATCAAGAACAGCCATCTCCACCCAGCCATGCCATGCCGTCCGTCTAGACCAGCGAAGACGCCAGCGGCAATAAGACCGGAGAATGAGCTCGCAAGCAAGTTGCCTGTGTAAAATACAGCGAGTCGTGTTGCGACCTCTTTCCGTGTGTAGAACAAGCTCACGAGGTAGCAAGCGCCCGAGTAGAAAGGTGCTTCAGTGAGGCCAAGCACCAGCCTTTCAACCGACAGACATCGTCAGTCTTCGGGATATGTGAGCAGGTACAAAAGGTGTCCGACTTACCTGCACGCAAGCATTCCATGATAGTCCTTGACAACACAAATGAGAGTTGACACAATAGCCCACGCCATCATCCAGCCGGACATGTAATACGCAGGCTTGACGCGCGTAACCAGCATGTTCGACGGAACTTGTCCTGTGATATAACTGCCTTAATATGTCAGCAATGTTCTGGTACAAACAATGTCTAGATCACTTGTGATTGTGTGACTGACCCAACGAAGAAGACGCTGACGCAGGTGTTGTACTCGGATCCTTTCATGTTGAGATCGTTGTCCAGGTTATTGAGCTTGCCGTTCACAATTGCATTTCGGTCAAGGAAGTTCAAGAAGTACATCAACCATAAAATGGGCTGGGTGGAGACTTTTGGTTCAGCTTCATTTTCATCTCAGCAATTATTGGAGATGTAGGGATCGGCTTACCATGAGATAGGTGTCCAATTTCCGAACCAAAGCAATTTCTTTGGGATCAACTTTAGCAGTAGACCCAAACTTGTCAGGATGGGCTCGAAAGCCACCCTCTTTGGGACTTTCTTGGTGGTCAATATGATCGACGACTGCTTCATGGTCTTTGACCATCTCGATGGTCATAAAATGTTGGTATGAAGACATAACTGGATGTAGAGATTATTACTGAATCTAAAGTGACGTGAGTCTGCTTCAATGCGCTGAGTTGAGATGAGAATAATTATTCGGAGCTGTTCAAGATATTGCCTCTTAAATAATCCACATAACATCCTATCGGATCTCTGGTCAAACCGGAAAAGGCATCCTCGGGGCCGGAAACTTGCGAAGCACCATCGAAGAGACAACGACAGTGACTAAATGTATGGCAAACTCCTTCACATTACCCACCAATCAACGCCTTTGCTTACTATGGCCGACAATGATCATTGATGCGGCAGTTTGTTCGCCGTGGTTGCTAGGCAAATCCGGGGTGCAGCCTCCCCGTGGGGTAGGCACCTAACATTTGCTTATGAATGCCTAACTACTTTAGCTACGTGTCGAGAATGTCAAGGGCTGAGCGATACAACCCGACATTCGCGATATCCCGATGTCCGTCTACAGCCGCAGGAATTGGCCCGTCCATAGCCCCGAGGCAATTAAGGATGTACCAATGAAAGGTAACACTAGTGATGTAATGTTGAGTGAGTGCATGATACATTACACCTCATCCAAGTCAGGCGCTGGTCCTCGAGACTTCGATTGTCTAACGGTGTCATACAAAAGCCGGGTATCACGTTGCTGACCTGCAATCGTCCGCACCTGAATGAAGACATCGTGTCTGACAAGTAAGATGGATACGATGCTGTTACAGGGCACTGCTGCCCATCATTCAGTAACATGAAGGGGGATCAAGGATGCTCTCGTCACCATAAGAACGTGTTTCCTGGTCATTTCAACTGATGCAAACATAAAGGGAGGCTGCATATGATGACCTAGATGGAACCGGATAAAGGTTACTACTGGTGTACCGTAAGATTCAGCTGATGTCTACTTTCTCATGCTAGAAAAGGCAGTGACAAGTCCTAGAGTATCGAAGCTTTGTTCCTCGAATGATCGATACGTGACGTGGGCGGTGAGATGCTGGGACAAGTACATATCAGCTATAAATACGTCAAGACGCTGCTATCTTCCTGCAACAGCGTATCTAGCAATCAACTTGTTCAAGTCATATACCGAATCTTGCATGCATCTGATTTTCGGTGAATTGCTTGTCATTGATCATCTTTTTCGCCTCAAGTTCAACCTTTTCCCAGATGGAACTCCTAGTCGTCTTGCTAGGACTTTTCCTGTGGGCTGGCGCCACGCCGGTTTCGGAGAAGATGGACTCCATCTGGAATAAAGAAAACATTTGTCAAGATTGGGACTTTTCGACTGCGGAAGGTGTCGAAAAATTGTGGCAAGAAACTGCCGCGGGCTTTTCTCTTGATTTCTTCCTCGAAATAAGCCTGAGTAAGTCGACAATGCCGAGTCACAAACCTGTTGGCTCGCGTGCCTCATTCACTCCAACATTCAGAAGCTCATCCCATCACTACTACAGAAGACACAGGTGTGGCGTTCTCCCAAAATAAGGCAAACGAAGGCTGGACCACCAAGCTTGAACATAAAATACGAAGCAATGGTCGTCCTAGAGTCGGCGGCTGTTCGACAATCGGCGGCCAATGCAGCCCTTTTAGCGACTGGGACTGCGAGAGATACTATGATGAAACCAACAAGACTAGCTTTGGCACAAACTCATACTGGGTCTTCCAAGCCGTCATAGGGCTACACAGCAAGATTGACAAGATCAGCGGAGAGATTACTCGACAAACCCTCGTGGAGAATTTGAAGATATCGCAGACGCTCAGTGAGTTCGACTCGCCGGACACGAAGGCTTCAAGTGTGTTCAAGTGGATTGCAGCCGCTGCATCGATGGGAGGCGGTCTCATGTCTTTGCCAGGAGCGGCAATGGTACTGGTATGTTCAGATACAACGTTCTCCAGCATTTTCCAATCTCACTACTTAAGTTTTACTGATTGCTCGCCAATGGACAGGGCCCTGCCGGATTCGTGACTGCAGGACTAGCTATCATTGGCAGCATCTCTTCTCAAATGGCCGATGCGGAATCGAAAGAGAATACAGAGGCGAATGATGTTGCAGTTGCCTTGGGGAATGCTTTTGAAAGCCTCACAAAAGGCCTCGAAGACATCCTTCGCGTCGCTACAGGTGGAGGGATTGATGACAATGAGTATAATGCTCTTCCTAGTCTTGGAAACGAGAGGGACAATTTCCTCAGCAAAGTTCCCGCTTTTCTGAACGGCGGTTGGCCATTACTTGTTGAGAACTCGCGCGAATTCGCAAGCTGGGTTGGCATCATCAGTGATAACCTCAAGATGAAAGTGGCAACTGAGGCCATGAAGTCTTCGAAACTACATCTGGTGGCAGACAGGCACAGAGATGCCGGAACCAGAGAAGGATGTGGAACCGACATAGGCCGTCAGTGGATGGAATTGAGGAACGGCGAAGAGTACTGTTTCTACCTAATGAGAGAATCGGCTGACACCTTTTGGTACAAGGCCGAGCCCAGGATCTACGAAGCGATGGAGAGGCACGGCATTGGGAATCGAGTACCATTCTACGCTGCCATTATTGACTGCGCCCTCAATGGGAATGGCGATGGCGTGGAGATTGGAGGTGGAATAGGAAAGATACCTCGATGCTACTTCGACCTCGCGGCAGTCTTTTACGACGAGAGCGGGAACTGCATGGATCCTACCATTGATGGCTGCAGGTCAGTAAAAACTTCACCGCTCTCGTAGGGTCTCACAGCCGGTGGCCGGCTCGAGCCTACAAGTGGGCTCTAGGCGCAACGTCAATCTGGAAGAGTGTGTTCTCACTCACCATCTTCCAGACACTACCTACGTCACGTAGTACTGTATCTTGATTACGTGATTGAGGAAGTAGCAACTGCGGAAGAGAATCAAACATTCGTTAATCGCTCTGAATCGACTTCAAAGGGTTCTCATACTTAACGTGATCTTGTCGAATCTCTTTTTACTGATTGTTGCAAAGTAGTGGGGATGACTGGCTTCAGCACGCATGCCTAGGGGCTGGGGCGGCGTCAACATTTACAGTTCATGTAGTACTATAAGGTAAGTCTTGGATTTGCTAAGCTCCCAATCAGTGCGTCCCTTATTCTTACTGCTAGAAAACTGAAGCATGACCGAGAATAACTTCCAAACAAACACGAAAAGACACAGAGTTGGGTTGCTTTGGGAACCTCGCGTTCTCTGTGACCCTGTCCGTTCCTGTCGCTCTGTGGGTCAGATGACAGAGTAGGTACTTACATTGACTAACGGACTGCAAGCCATGGTTTTCATATTCACATACGTTCCTCGCGTATTCGCTACATCAGAAAATCGTTTCTAGATTCTAGGAGGTGACTAGGATTCGGCGGTCGAATTGATGAGAATCTCGGCTATGGTTTTCGTCATGGCGACGGACTGAAGGCCCCAGGCGCAGGCCTGTGTGATGGCTCGGTACAAGTCAACTGCGGCGCAATAAGCATGAACATCATTCGCATGTATTACTATCAGTAACTGCCAGAAGTCCGTCTATAACCGGGGTTGGGGGCATGCGCGATCTTGGCCAAGGCGCATGGAAGTGCTTACAAGCATGGCCGGAGGAGAATCCCACCACTCAGATAATTCCCAAAGTATGCTGAGAGTGCAGTTCCGAAGTAGGTATTCTCATGAGAATCGCATACAACCCACATCAAGTACGCGAGGCAACATACGCACCTAGCCCCTGCGCGACGCAAAATGCAGATTAGTTCCTGGTGACACTTTGGGAAACAAATCTACAGTTCAGTATTTCGGGCATTCGTTTAGTGCCAGCCTATTAGCCGAAGATCCGCCACCACATGCACTCTGGTGACTGGCTGTCTCTCAGCCCTTCCTGCCTGCTGGTACCTGTACGTGTTTAAGGTCCATTGAGGTGCAGCAATCGCGGCTTTTCGGTACCTCTTCATCGAGAACTTGAAAGTTTCCATCTAAAGCCAACACGGCACAGGCGCAGAAGTACGAAACAGTCACACCCGCAAGCCTCGCACACTGAAAATCACAAGGGCACTAGCATCCTAGTTACACCTCATTGGTGGTAACTGATCCCCCGTAGACCACCGCCGGTTATAGACGCTTCGGAGCACCCGGACCCCGCACCCGGAAACCTAAGCAACTTGCATCAGCGGCCCGGAACGAGAGCGGAACGGAATTGTCGCGCGGATACGCTCAACGCCGATCAGGTCGCAGGGAGCCGGCGGTGCGAGATGGTTGTTAGTACATAAGTCAAGTTGGTTCCACGTCAAGTCGGGACTTTCTCTCTCATCACCGAATGGACTCCAAGCCAGTACGACATCCGTCCTGTTTCTAACTGATGCACCTCTCTTTGGCTTCTTCATCATGGCAACTCAGACGACGACAGTGACCCAGCTCAAGGTCTCCGCTCAGGACCGTCCTTTCTTCACCCTCGACGAGCTCATCAAGAGACGGGCCCTCGAACTCGGAGATGCGCCCTTACTTGGGTACCCTAACGAGGGCCTTCTAGATTTCGAGGAGCACAGCGCTCGCGCGGTGGACCGGTACGTTGACGCCGCCGTGCAGAGGCTACAGCAGCTGGGTCTATCCTCCGTTGTAAGCCGTGCTACCTCTTCACTATTTCAGTCAAGCTTTCACTGACTTGTAACTTGATGAGGACTCAAATTCTGAGAAGGCCCCCGTGATAGGAATCCTTGCTCACTCCGGTTTGCATGTCGTCATCACGATTATGGCTCTTAGCCGGCTAGGATACGCAGTGTTTCTTGTCTCAACGAGGCTTCAGAGCCCAGGAATCGCCCGCCTTTGTGAGTTGGCGGACTGCAGTGCCATGCTCACCACATCAAATTTCCATCCTGTTCTAGCCGAAGTTCAGCAGGAACGCGAGCTCGATGTTTTACCACTGCTGTCTCACTCAGACTACTACGGCAAAGATGCCCCCGTGTTTTCCAGAACCTATGACCCGGAGCGAGAATCGAGGAAAATTGCCGCCATCATCCACTCCTCCGGTTCGACAGGCCTTCCGAAACCAATCTACCTGACTCACAAGAGCTGCATTGGGGCCTTTTCCGTTCATATGAATATGAGGGCCTTTATTGTCTCCCCCTTATTTCATAGCCACGGATTTTACGAGACATTTCGCTCAATCTACTCAAAGAAGCCCATCTATTATGGTAACTACAATCTGCCTTTGACGAGACAGAATCTCATCCAGATGATCAACTACGTCAAGCCTGAAATCTTCCACGTGGTTCCTTATGTCGTGAAGTTACTAGCTGAAACAGACGAGGGTATCCAGGCGTTGGCAAGTGTGAAACTCGTTCTCTTTGGGGGAAGTAGCTGTCCAGATGACCTTGGCGACCGTCTGGTCAATAACGGGGTCTATCTCGTCGGAAACTACGGATCGTAAGAGCAACCCTTGCCCACCCTAATTTCTGCAGCCTTGTAGGCACTCGCACTAACGAAGTAAAGAACTGAGGTAGGCAGGTTGATGAACTCCGCTCGTCCGCCAGGCGATAAAGCCTGGAATTATCTGCGTCCTCTCCCCTCCGCAAAGCCCTACGTTCTCATGGATGAGGTCTCTCCCGGGATCTACGAGTGTGTCTGCCTCGACGGCATCCCCTCGAAGTCGACATCGAACTCGGATTCGCCACCAAACTCATTTCGAACGCGTGATCTCTTCGTGAAACATTCCACACAGCCCGACTGGTGGAAGTATGTCAGCAGACTCGATGACAGGTTCACTTTGATCAATGGCGAAAAGGTGCTCCCCATTCCCATCGAAGGGAGACTTCGCCAAGAGGAAATTGTTAAGGAGGCTATAGTCTTTGGCGAGCAGAGAAGTTATCCCGGTGCTCTAATCGTCAAGGCGGACAATGCTGCGAGCCTAACTGATGTGGAGTTCGTCGAAGCGATCTGGCCGGCAGTTGAAGCCGCGAATGCGAAAGCCGAGTCCTTCTCGCGCATACCTCGAGAGCTCATCATTGTGCTTCCATCGGAGACACAGTATCCCCGCACTGACAAGGGAACCTTTATTCGGGCGCCGTTCTATCAGCAATTTGAAAAAGAAATACAGATCGCCTATGACAGGTATGAGAACGAAGAAGAAGGAGGCAGGTTGTCTCTTGTGGGCCAAGAGCTAGAGATCTGGCTTTCGCAGCAACTCAAGAAGCAGTTGGGTATCGACTTACCATCTGCCGACGCAGATTTCTTCGCTTCTGGCGTTGATAGCCTCCATTGCATCCAGATGTGGAGTCTGATCAAGAGGGAAGTCGATTTGGGTGGTCGTCAGAGTTACCTGGGACAGAACATTCTCTACGAATCTGGAAACATCCGAAAACTCTCTGAACATCTCGTTGCACTGAGAAACGGTCAAGTCGAAGCGGTACAAGACGAGCTACGAAAAATGCATCATTTGGTAGCCAAGTACTCCTCTGTCACACCGCACGTCGCTTGTACAGCCCCGAAACCTGAGAAGCATCTCGTGGTAAGTGACACTAGTTCCACCGCGACCTCAAGACATCACTGATATCGCCTTCACAGTTCCTCACTGGAGTGACAGGCGGCTTAGGAGCTCATCTTCTTGGCCAACTCGCTGCCCTCCCAACCGTATCCTCAGTTTGGGCAGCCGTCCGCGCACCCGACGATACCGCCGCAGCATCTCGCATCGCACACTCACTTACCTCGCGCGGCATATCTCTAAGCCCCCTCCAACAATTTAAAGTGGTGCCGTTATCCTGTGATCTAGGCCTCCCAGATTTCGGCCTCGGCGCCACCCGCATCGCCGACCTGAAGTCGAGGCTCACAATCGTAATTCACAGCGCCTGGGCCGTCAACTTCAACATCCCCGTGCAGAGCTTTGAAGACCAGCATATCAAGGCAGTACACAACCTCATCCAGCTGTGCCAGTCCGTCGAAACACCCAATCCCGCACGGTTCTTCTTCTGCTCATCCGTCTCCGCGTCAGGTGGGTCGCCTAGGCACGGTAATGTGCCTGAGGGACCGGTCCCGACGCCGGCATGGGCGCAGGGAACGGGCTATGCGCGGTCCAAGTGGGTGTCTGAGCATATCACGCGTAATGCGAATCTGAACGCCGGTGCGCCTGCAAGAGTCTTGAGGATCGGGCAGCTTGTGGGTGACAGTAAGGTCGGCGAATGGAACACGACTGAGGGTATTCCGTTGATGATTCAGACGGCTGTCACGCTTGGTTCCTTGCCGAATCTAGATGAGGTGAGTCTTACGCGAACAGTTTGGGGAAAGCGATGACTCTGATGTGGTATTAGGAGATGACTTGGCTGCCCGTCGACCATGCCGCAGCGGCCATCTTAGAACTCGTCAATGCCGACGCGACCCCGCAACCGAGCGAGCGCGATACCGATCCCGACTTGGTGTACCACGTCCTTAATCCGACGCGCTTCCACTGGACCCGTGATATGCTTCCAGCCCTATCCAAAGCTGGTCTGCAGTTTGAGATACTCCCGACTAATCAGTGGATGGACAAGTTGCGGCAGTCTAAACGGGACCCGAAGAAGAACCCGCCGATCAAGCTCCTGGATTGGTTTGAGAGCAAGTACGGACGTACGGCTTCTGCGAATAAGGGGGTCCTGGCATATTCAACGGCGGAAACTGAGAGGGACAGTCCAACGTTGAGAGAACTACCGAATGTCACGGATGTAAGGTTCATCACGACGTTGGTCGAGAGGCTAAAAGCTCGATGGGCGGCGGACGATAGTGCATGAGGGAGTGCGGGTATTTCTATTCCTCGTTTAAATCCTGGACCATCTCGGAAATCGAGAGGGTTGCCCATATTTGCCATCTAACAATCACCACAATTTGATAGGGCTGTGACTAGTTCTTTCCTCATGCGGGAGCGTTCCAAGATGAACATAAATGAATTCTTCATACTTGATAAACGTGTTTGCGCGCGAAAAGAATGAATGCCACTGCGCAATTGACCCCCATCGTCACTCAAGGTTCCATGACCTTTGCCAGATTCACCCCAATGAGCCAGGCAGAAACTGAATCTAATGCACTGTGTCGCTTGCCATCACGAAGGCCCAATTTCCCATTCTAAAATGTCATGAAATCAAAGCCGTAGCCCCCCCAAAATGCGCCATATCCCTAGAGTTTTGGTATTTACAAAGCCCATGTAGTATTTACAAAGCAGCAGCAGCGAGAGCGACGGCGCCGAGCATGCCGTAGTATGCATTCGTCGGCCGTGCAGCGGCGGCGGGTGTAGCGGTGGCAGACGTGGCGGCGCTGTTGCTAGCGGTAGCGGCCGCGGTACCGAGGACGCCGGTTACGAGGTTCGATGCCGATGCGAGGTCGGATGCGGCCGGGTTGCTCTGAACTTCGGAGCAGATTGACGGTGCGATTTTTGCAGCCGCTATAAGAACTTAGGGTTAGCCACCTATACAATAAATGGGATACGAGTTACAGGGTGTGCAACATACCGGCGATCTCTGTTGTGGAGCAGCCAGCAGTGAGCACGCAGGGCGTCAGGCTGGAGATGAGCTTGTCCTGGCTGGCGCACAAGCAGGTGAAGTCGGTCGCGGAGCAGCCAATGTTGCTTGCGGCGGTGCTGATGCAGCCTACGGCGCAGCTAGGGAGCTGGGCGATGAGGCTGGCCAGACCAGTTGAGCTGGAGGATGCGGCGGAGGTGGTGGCCGACTGGGCGGCGGCAAGGCCGGAGAGGAGTCCGAAAACGATGGCGTACTTCATGGTGACGGTGTTGAGTAGTTCTTCGCTGAAGAGGCTTTGGGATGTCAATCGAGTGATGAGCGAGATCTTTGGTGGCTGATCAGAGGTTCATAGGATGATCAGTATGTTTGTTCGAGGAGTCAAGAACGATGTTTGATCGTAGTGACAGACGAAATGAAGAACAATTAGAGGCCTGTAAAGAAAAGTGGCACTTTCAATATTGCTGCTGCAGGTATGAATCGTTTGTGAAAGACCAAGGGGTTGACTGAGAAGACACAGAAGCACAAGTGGAATCGATGGGAAAAGACGATTGATTTAATATACTGGAAACGATCATCTCTGGAGATGAACCTTGAGGAGCCACAAGGGAGGTCTAGACTCAAATATTAACACAACCAAGAACCGAACGACGCTGCCCAGCGAGATACGAGACGTGCGCCAAGGGGCAGAAGAGAAGGATTCAATACGACGGGTTACTGCTGCTAGGCTCAAATTCGGTACGCCGCGAGTACGAATAGTCAATCTTAAAGCCCTTGGCTGAAATTGAAGCTGTTTGGCTCCGTGCGATCAGCGGAGTTTACCAAGCAACTAAGAGAGCTCCGGTTTTCTTGCAACACTGCCTCGATGCCGCGCGGTCCATCCTTGGCGGCAATGAACAGCGTGTTTGTTCTATGGAGCAGCGTTGGCGATGGCCAGTTGCAGGTTGATGGCGGGATAATGCACGCCAGACTGGTTGGTCAGGTCAGCACCTGTTATGGTCTATTCTGTCTGTTGTAGATGCTCAACGAGCGAGACCGAGCAAGACGTCAAAGTTTGAAGGCGGCGATGGCGTAAGCTTTGTTGAGTTCGGACGAGGCTTCCTGTGGCGATTCAATGTTGTCTGTCCTGCATGACAGATTTCATCCAAACGCAGGCTGCAGCTCAAAGTCTTAGATCTCAGGGTTCTAGATACGCGTTAGAACACCCCGTCTGTTCACCCAGGTCAACCAGGTCACTGCTCAACCCGCGGGAACCGGACGAACAGAGTGTGGAAGGGAAGAAAGAAAGAAAGGGGCTTCACTGCATCTCTTTGCCCCCGTTTCAACGTGATGTCATTCTTATTTTAGCGGTTCACCCCTGACATGACTCCGCCGGGTTACTGCTTGGCAAGGGGTCCCTAGGCACGCGGTAGATGTTCAGGCGCTGGCTCACTCATCCCCAGTGAAGGAAGTGTAGCACTGACAGTCTGTCGCTCAGTGAGTTTCGAATGAGGGTCGTTCTTTGCCATCCCAGGCTCACTGAAATCTCACCCACCGTGCAGCCAATCTCATTCATTTTCACTGGACCGGAGAAATTCAGGCAGTATTTGATTGGCATGAAACAACTAGCGGACCCCTTGTCAGCTGTCGTCTCAAGCGAGGGAACACAAGCTTTGGCACGTCGGCAGTCTTCAGATGGCAGTGCATCCTGATCTTCGTTCGAGAAAGGCTCACCCTGTGTCCGTCCGTGAATGCACGCTGTAATGCATACACTGCGGCGTGGATGCTGCCGATTGTGTCAATCGCACGAGTCGGCGGAAGGAACCGCTAAAGTAGCTAGCTCACTCGCGGAGATCGTGTTTGCATGTGGAGTTGTCTATAAGATGAAATGCCCCAGAGGAAGCTTCGCGCCTGGTGACTTAGCCTTGAGGTACAGCCCAGTACTTTGAAACCGTCTCATCCAGGAGGACTCCAGCGGGAACACTGCTGGCTGCAACGATATGCTGCTACTCCGCTGCATCAGCTACCGGCACCGCACTCGGTTCCACGGCCGGCAGATTCGGAAGCGGACCCAATGCATCGCATCCCGCCTGCTCGCAAAGGAGTGTCATTGGGCCTCACAACGTCCGTTGTCGTCAGCTGGCTCGAAACTTACCTGTTCATGCTCAGCACCTCGTTCCTTCGTGAGGGGGCTAAACAATGGGCGGTACTTTGCAAATGCTGAGAATTGTTTGCCCTTCCAGTCTGACTCGGAATACCTCGCTCGAATACTTCCATCTCACGCATGTCCTATTACTCGTCTTTCAACCAGTCATTTCAATGGCCATTGACTCTTTTACCTCCCTAACTTTTGAGAGACCATGCTCCAGCTCAATGGTTCTCTTCATTTATACACAGCCTCCCTCGGCATTGCCTGGCAAGCCTGCTCACCCTGAAGCGTGAACCAAGTCAGCTCAAACGCACAGAAGGTGGCAGGTGAGTGCCACAATAGTTTGTCGCTCAACACCCTAGCCGTCTCAATTCTTCCTCCTCCTGCTAGTAGTCTACCACTACTCTGGCGTTGGCCGGCATCAACTTTCTTCTCGTCGCCCACTTGAATGGCCAAGAAGATCCTAGAGAATGGAGGCGGTGCAGCCAGGCTAGATGTGATGTCATTTCGCCTATGCATTCCCGACCGAATTTCAGCTTCTTTCGGTCATTGAACTCAGGTGAGAGTACGTGTGCTAAGACTCGGCTTTCGAGTGAGATATGCAAGAGCTATTTCCATGACACCAAGCTTCACCCTGCGTACTGCAAGTGTACAAGGGTTTTATTCATAATCAGGTGCCTGAGAATCTCACGTATGAGATTAGGCAATTGAAGTATTAGCCGGCTTCATGTTCGCGACTGATGGGGCAGTATGGCCAAGCCACGACGGAGGCCGGGTAATACTTCATACAAAGCATACAGTATGACTCAGCGAACAAATGTCAGCAAGCCTCAGAAGAAGCCGGTCGGCAAAGCGTAGCGGTGCCGACGGCAAAAAACTCACGGTGCCGAGCTTTTCGGTGTCAGCGCCGGTTTCAGGACCCACTCCGGGAGATACTGGCAACCGCCGGCACCGAAGGATTGGCTGCCGTGTATAGAGCATAACGGCGACTGACGATACAAACTACAATTCTCCACCAGCAACATCATCTTGATCAAGTTTTCTCTATAAAAGACAAGATTCTTCCCAGAGTATTTCTCAACAAACACTTTTACATCCTATAATCAAGGCATCATGCCAGCGACAGAAACCGGCCCGTCTGTCAGCGGCGTAACGCCATCGTCTAACCATCTTGTTTGGGAGGATCTCTCCCTCGTTATCAACAATGTCAATCTTTCAATTTCTACCGTCCGCCGCGACGGGCCACTTGATCCCATACTCTTCCTCCACGGCTTCGGGAGCACCAAAGAAGACTTCACGGATGTAATCCATCACGCGCCCCTTTCCGACTATCCTTTACTCGCTTACGATACCCCCGGCAGCGGTGCATCCACCAGCTCCGACTACAGCGCCATCTCCATAACATTCCTCGTCGCCGTAGCTGAGGCAGTTCTGGACGCTCACAACATCAAACGGTTCCACCTCGTGGGCCACTCCATGGGCGGCTTGACAGGCTTGCTGTTAGCACAGCGCAACCCAGGCGCGGTACTAAGCTTCACCAACATCAAGGGCAATCTTGCTCCCGAGGACTGCTTCTTGAGCAGACAAATCTTTGACTTCCCGGCAAGCGATACGGAGATGTTCATCGCATCCTTTATCGAGCGGACTCGGCGATCAGCGGATTACGGGAACGGGATTTATGCAGCAAGTTTCCGTTCTAAGGTCAGGCCGGAGGTAGTAAGGCCAACTTTCGAGTCCATGGTTCATTATACCGACAAAGGAGACTTACTGGAGGTGTTTGAAGCACTTCCGTGTTCAAAGATGTTCATTTTCGGTGTATCCTACAACACATTATCCTATCTCTCACGGATCAAACATGCGGGCGTCGAGCTAGCCGAGATTCCAAACAGTGGACATTTTGTTCTGTACACCAATCCTATGGCGGTCTGGAGTCAAATGGGTAGTCTTATCAGCAGAGCTTCATAATAGCCACTATTGTTTTGTCAGTCGTCGAAGCATACAAATTTCATCACTCAAAATTGTATTCCATGCAAATGTCAACGGCCCGCACTGACTAAGAGATGCCCAATGTGTACCGAGATGCTGGAGCAAGTCCTGAAGACCATTCTCTGCGAATGCTTTCGATAACATCCCAAAGTTCTCAGCTTCTTCCTCAAGCTGTCGACAACATTCTTAGCACCTGAAGTGCTGCATAGCGTCAATATAAATAGATCTACTATTACGAATATTGGCAAGAATGAGTGTACTACTCTGATTTTAACTCCTTCATACCAGCCTAAAGTAAGACAGAAATGGACTAGAATTGAAAGCTGAAAGCTAGAGACGGATGAATTGAATTTATCTAATAGTTGATCAAATACGAGTACTCATCCGGCTCTCGAGATCGTTGAGATATACGTAAATGACTGTCGGAGGAAAAGAATCCTGCACATTTTCCCAGATTCATGAAGCTAGAAACAATCTGTCTCTCCTTCCTCCTAATAGGGTTCTTGAAAGGTCCAGCAATGAGAAGCATCTTGGCATTCGAGACCAAGATCCTTACATTCCAGGCAGATGACGAAGTCACCTCCATCGCACAAGCTACAGGTGTAGAATGCCTGCTCATCTGGGAAGGTACAAGTCATGCAAATATCACACCACGCTGAATCGCAATCGAAGTTCGCCCCTTGTGCGCCAAGCTCGTTGTTCTCCGGAATATGAATCTTGAGCATCAATGCATGTTGCAAGACCGATTCGATGACTTGGGTGCTGCCACTTTTTCGTGCCCACCACATCGAGCTTCGCCCTAGTCCATCTCGAGACTCAAATGATCCCTCGTCGACTGAGAGCAGATATTTGACGGCTTCTTCATGTCCATTGCGACAAGCTGCAGATAATGGGGTTGATCCATACTGATCCGTGATCTGAAGGTCCAGTCGATTCTGAGTGGTTAGTATTTGGATTAATTCGTAATGCCCGCGGGCCGATGCATAAAATACTGGTGTTCGGCCACTGTTATCTTGTACATGGGTACTGCACCTAGGGCTCTGAAGCAGCAACTCTGCAACTTCTGTATGCCCGCTCAGAGCTGCAGCGTGTAGAGGCGTCCACCCACGCTCGTCAGTCAACCGTACATCTACTCCCTCAGCAAGAAGTAGTTCAATCACCCCAACGCGCCCGTTATACGACGCCTCGTGGAGTAGCGTCCATCCTGCGTAGGCTCGCAAGGAACCATCATTACGAGAGTCGCTAAGAAGCAGCTCAGCAAGCTTGCTGTTCACGGCAGCTGAAGCTGAGTAAAGTGGCACCATTCCGGCTTTGTTGGCCCGAGATACGTCGTTGCACCGACTAAGAAGTAGCTTGGCTACTTTTTCATGCCCGCAACTCGATGCCAAGAAAATCGGTGTCCATTGGCTATCATCCACAGCGTTCGAGTCAGCGCCATTGTCCAGAAGTAGCTCGACAATCTCTAGATGGCCACGACTTGATGCTATATGCAGCGGCGTCGTTGAATTATTGGTTACAGCTGCGACGTCGGCGCCTGCACCCAGAAGCATATTGACGATCTCATAGTGACCACCATCAGAAGCGAAATGTATCGATGACCATTTGCTAAGATTTGCGTGGTGAACATCAGCCCCCTTCCTCAGGAGCAAGTTGACAATGTCAAGGTGTCCAAAGTGAGAGGCAGCATTAAGCGGCGACCAACCATCATTACTCCGGGTTAGAATTTCGGCCCCATTGTCGAGGAGCAGTTCAATCACATCGAAGTGTCCGCAGTGAGAGGCCACATTGAGTGGTGTCCAACCGCCATCGTTAGCAACAGTGATGTTAGCTCCCCTTCTGAGCAGCAACGCGACGACGTCGAGATGGCCGTAGTAGGAAGCTACGTGTAGTGCCGTCCAGTTGTAGTTACTTGTTTTCTCGCAGTCTGCGCCTCTATCGAGAAGGAGTTCAATAACCTCATAGGCTCCATAATACGAAGCTTCGATGAGAGGTGTCGACCCTGTGTGATTCGACATTGAAATATCGGCCCCCGCATCTAGAAGGATCTTTGAGAGTGTCAAATTCCCAGCGTTGCCTGCAATCTCAAGAGCTGTTCTACCAAATGGCGCCTTGGCATTCACATGATGCTTCTCGTCGTGGATGAGGCAGGAAGCAAGCTCAGTGAAGCCAAGACGGGCAGCGTAGTGTAAAGGACTAGCATGGTGAGGTTCAGTTGATGAATCAGCTCCCAAACCGAGCTCTACGCTGTACTTCTCAAACAAGTCACGCCACGTTTCCCAGCTGGGATTGACTTCATCGAACAAATTCATCATGAGCATTGTGAGTTCTTCGTCTTCCTCATAACCGACGGTGGAATGCTGATACCATGAACTCGCGGCGTAGTGTCGGAATGACCCCTTGACGCTCACTTGAAGTTTTTCTTCCTGGGTGCTTTCCATTTGAACCGTCGAATTGATCTTCTCTTCAAAGTCCCAGAAGTATTGACTGTTGATGTAGCGAAGGCAAAGCTTTGCTAGCCTGCTGTTTTGTTGAAGCTCGTTTGAGACTTGACTGTTCATGCGAATCGATAGCGATTGAGATGAAATGTTGCAAAGAAAATGTTGTTTGACTGAAAAGTGAGTCAAGTGCACCGTACTTGACCCCCTGTTAGAATCCGAAGATGTACCTCGAACTTCCAAAAGCGAGCCGCAGGGGCTTTGTATTTCGCTTTCAATGAAGTCGTCATCAACTTCATCGGGCAACTCATCCTCAGGGAAGTTGAAATCTTCCTCGTCGATCAACATAGCCTCGGAGATTTCGTTGACGGTCAAGGGCCGCAGAGCAAAAGCCGCCCATTGTAATAGAGAATAGGCACGTTTACGGATCGGTTCTGGTAGTTTAGAAATGCGTGTCCAATTTCGTTCATAAACATGATCAAGTCCAGACGGTATTTCATTGATCGCATCCTCAAGTTGCTTCTTGTTCTTCCAGCTGCGCAAGGAATCTTCGTGTAACTTGACCCAGAGGAGTTGGCCATTGGACCGATCCGCAAGCATCTTGGAGACACCTTCTCTTGTTGCTTCGTCCTTTCTCGGCAGCTTCTTGTCGACAATACTTCTTGCGTATCGAGCAACGTCGGATTGCACGTCTTCAGGATCGATTTTGAGTTCCTCGCAGTTTTTTGAGCACATCATAGCACTTCGAATCTCAGGCTCGTCCCGACTGACAACTAGGAGGCGAGATGCCGTGTTGGTAATTGCCCCAATCACGGTGTTGAGAAACCTCCCCAAGGACTTCCCGTCATGGGGAGCCTTCCCCAACCAAGTACACTCATCCAAGCCATCCAAGACCAAGATGGCTCCAGGTACGACTTGCAAAATTTCTCGAAAGATACTGACGATTTCTGTCTCGGTGGCGAATTGTTCGTTTTGAGCTAGCCACTTTTCTCGCACCAACTGATAGGTAATCTGGTCGGACGATGCCATCTGGTGGACCCATGCTCGAATCGCCGCATAGGGATTGTCGCGGCTTTCGAATTCAGATGACAAGAAGAAATAGATCACTGGCGTCTGGGATATCGATCTCAAATGTTCGATGATTCTCGCGCAAAGAACAGTCTTTCCAAACCCGGCTGGTCCATTGACCCACAGGAGCCTTTCGGTATCATCGACAATTTTACACGCTTCGTTTAGAGCAAGCCACTCAACGAATTCGGGACGGTCAATGATCCAATCACACGTCCCATTGATTCTTCTCTCTTTGGCTTCAGGGAAGAGATCGTTCGGCGGTGGGCATGCTAGCCAGGCCCGAAGGTCTCGTCGAGTCTCGGCTGCAGTCGCCGGCGTCAGTCTTAATCGCAGTATTTCGGGAAGTTAAGGTGAAGAATCTCGATATACCTTCCATCTCCCTTTCCAACCGAGACAAGGTCTGTCGAAGCTCTCGAAGCCACGTCTGTTTCTCAATATCGTCATCTAAGCCAGATGGTCTAGTCAGATTTGTCTGATCGTGAACTTTCGTATGTGACAATTCGATATCAGGATAGTACAACTAGGCTATCTCCAGCATTGACAGCCGATGCTTGAACTGTGCTTGAGCTCAAGGGGACGCGGGCGTAAAGACACACCTATTCCATAAGCACAAGTCTCATTGGACTTATTGGTAGCTTCCCCACCTGGAAATGAACTATCTGGAGGAACCAGGTTGTGCAGATGCTGGACGAGAACTCCGAGGTTTTCGACTTGAGAAGTGCGTCTAGCCTTGCCCCTCAAGGACCAAACAAGCTTTTGCCTCCTTGATTCTGATGACTTTGGAAGGGATTGGATGCCGCGAGTGACGGTTGCTAAATTTTCATCCAGCCCGAGTTCTGATGTTGTTACGTCACCACAGATTGCCTTGATGACACTAAGCAGTTCTACTGCCATCAAGCGGACCTGCGGGTCATTCAGAGCGGTGTGATGGTCGTTCGAGAGCTTCCCTTGCCGGAATCCGACATCGCAGGCCCATTTTTTGAGGCGAAGCTTTTCCGCATCGAGCTGGACAGCGAGTGAACGTGAATCACGGTCGAAATCTTTATATATGTCGACTCTCTCGATGACATCTAGACAAGTGCTCAGAATGCCCGCGAGCCCAGCGATTCCGACGGCTAATCCAACCGGCTCCATGGCGATTGATATTGAGATTGGACTCGGAATTGCGATGAGAAAGAAATGAGGCTGCCTACCTTAAATGAGGGGGAAATGCATCCCGCTCTTGTCTCTCCTGTAGCCTCGTTGATTGGGCCTGCATGCAGTCATCGGCCCGGGCATTGATTGGTAGAGAATCGATTGCCGCCCAGCACAATTCTTTTCTGTTGCCTGCATTAGGCCAAGTTCAACGTGTCACAACTTCACAATCCATCTGATTGTCTTTCGACTGGTGAGAGAGGATCATTGCTTGGCCGTTGCGGAGGATGCAGAGATGAGTACAAGCTAAGATATCTTAGCAAGTGGGTGACAAAATAGGATGCCGGTCAACAAATGATTATAATACGTACTTACCGGTGAATTACTCTTAATTTTTCGTACTCTTCTTGTTTCCAAGTTCTCTTGTTGCTTTTATCTTGCAGTTACTTATTAGAGAATACTCTTTCAAAAAGGGTGGAACATGGAAAAGAGCTAGGGCATCTTTGAAGCCGGACGCGAATATGTCACCCAATGCCGACGTAAGTTAGGTAGTTACCTTGCTGTTGACACCACTACCTTCAGGCGGTCAGTGGCTGGATAATCCGACATACTGAGGGGTGATGTTTGCGCTCATTTAATCAGGCCATAATTCAAGCCAATGTTTTATCACTTGCCTCAGACCTGCAATGGAAAGATTGTTAATACGCAAATGGTGCAGGGTGCTGAGCCGAGAGTGTGGTGTTGTCCCGACTACCGGGCATTGAGATCTTCCGCTTGACAAAAACAAAAAAGAAAAAAAGGAAGAAGAAAGAGAGGGATTGGACAAGATGGGAACGGCACTACTGCAAAAGCTGACACTTCCATATTCCAATGGGCCAAGAATATCAGCATCGTGGATGGTATGGACTTCCACATCGTCTTTCTCCTAAGGTACATTGCCTTGATTACTTGGATACGGCGGGCAAACTCTGCCAGACCAACGACGATCGCAAATTGGCTCGAGCTACCATCAGGAAAAATACCCAGCATGGTACCTTCGATACAAAAAAGCACTTGCTGAGGCTCATCTTTACAAATCGCCACGTCCGAGCATTTTCGATGCGGACCTATCGAGTCTTGCAACGAGCGCTAATGAATCTCTTTATCGCGTTTGCCCATCGGCGTAGACGTCGGCTGTGATTGCAATGAGAGAAGATTGGTGTATCAAGATAGAGTGTACGATATGATCTGCAGATTGTCCGAAGACGATTTGTTCAAAAAAGCAAATATCAGTCGCGGGGAGTACAAATTGCGGAAGAAAGCATCCAAGGCTTATGCACTCAGCAAAGGGCAAAGGTCACAGGTACGCAAGGTAATGGAAGCAATCCGGGAGGGGGTTGACGCAGCGCTTCAGAAGGCATCACTCAAGAAAAATCTACCACTCCGCCAACTCCCAAAGAGTCGGGGAGATGTTATATTCAGCTACTATTTGTTGGCTCCAGATGAGGTCGACACATGGACAAGCATCCAAGACGCTGAGGATGAATCGGACAACGCCGTCGACATGGATAATCCATTTGATGGGTCATGAGGTGTTCATTTTTGGGTGCAAGATTATGATTCTCCTGATGGAATTACTGCGAAAGCACGTGAAGCCATCAAAAGAACGAGGTCCTTCATCACGAGGAAATCAACCCTCTTGGAAGGGGAGGTTACTATCGGCCGCCTCAACATTGGCTTCGTCGACTTCCTTTGCCCGCGAACCGTAGGGCTCTACGACACCAAGTCAGATCACTTATACGAAGGTCACAAGGTGAAGGTTCAATTCATCAACGATGATTACCTTAATCTAGATTTGGACCCTACCATCTTTGCAAACAATTCCGGCCCAGAGTTGCCTTGGCCATCAACTGTCAAACCAGTGCGCCGGTTCTACGGAGTCACAAAGACTAAGACACGGAGTCTTCTGGACCAAAGAACTTGGGAAGGAGGAGGCACGAGTCAAGAAGAGAGGGCACAAGCTCCACCGCGTGACAGGAAGACGGAGTGCAAACTAGCCAATTTAATGGGGGCGCATTACAAGACTCGGTACTTTCAATGGAATATAAATGTGTAAGCATCTCTATCAATCGAAAACTAGCGCCTAGAAAGTTCCCACGACAGTAGCATTACGCGCCGTCGAGGCAAGCTTCAATATGACCTCTTCTCCCTTCCACTCCGCCGCGCTACCGTCGACGGTGACATTCTTAAGTTGGCTCCCTTCTGGAACCCGCAGCTTAACCCAAACTTCAGCTGGAGGCGCCTTACTGAAACCTAGAACCGTCGTGATGGTACCCGCCTTCTCGTCCAGCTGCATATCGAGGTCGACTGATCCCCATTTGGTCGGGGCTCTTTGTACTCCGACCTTACCCTTGCTAAGCCATTTCCTCGGAACGCCTCGTCCAACTAGCAAAGCATCCTTGTCGGGGTGATCGAATAACAATGCTGCCCTAAGCAAGACGGGGACCGTAAATTGGGAAGGCTGGCAGTATGTGCTGGAACCACCTCCAGTTCCGGCAACTTCAGCCGCAAGCCATAAGCCCCTGTTATAGACATGATACCGATGAGAGTATAAGAAGAGCACAAACTCATCAAGGCGGTCCTGGACAAGCAACGAAAGGGCGTAGCCATATGAAATGAAGCCCAAGATGTCGCGAGTATCAGACCTAAGGGGCGTGACGTTGGCAACGACACCCACGCTGGTAATTCCGTAGGCGCGCATGGAGTTAATCACCATGTCAGTATGGTTTGATGAGAGCACTGATGCTTGAAGCAATTCCGAGTAGACCCGGTGCGGCCACCACTGAGAGGATGCGTCTCCCTTTTCAGCCAGGTCTTCGAGAACATGGGTTGTTTCGTTCGGCAGGACAGGAACATATGCAGGTGTGAAGTTCCTTTGGATCCATTGGTCCAATTTGAGGGATGTCTGATTTATGAGCTGCTCAGCGCGAGTGTTCCAGTCGTTGGCATGGTCGGCAAATGTCTCAATCTTGCTAAGATCCTTAAGACCGCGAGCAGCGAACGCCGCATTGTTCCAGTATGGTTTCTCGAATCGCCATGCATCGTTTCTCAGTGCAGCATCAGATTCGCTCCAGCCAGAAATGAGGCCGTAGTATGGATCATCCTCAGGCAGCTTCAAGTTCTCGTCTTGGCGCGCGGTGAGCATGTTGGCCCAGGCGAGGATCTTCGTCTTGTACTTCTCTGGAAACGCAGTGTCGCCCGTGTACTGGACATAGCGTGCGATCAAAGAAAGTGACATGCCGAACTGGGGCACGGCAGGCCCACGCATCTTGATGGCTCCGTTGTCGTAGACATACCAGTCCATGTAGTTCTCAAGGATGGCCTTGGCCTGAGCAAATCGTCCCCAGGCCAAGTTAGCTGTGAGCGACATGGTCATGATGTCTTGGAAGCCGTCATATTCTGATCCGCCATAGTCGCGTTCAAAGGCACCGTACCTCGGAGTGACACCTCCAGCGCGACCAACAAGCTCTACAGCAAAGGCATGTTTTCCAATATCCGACCAACTCTCATCCGGAAGAGTCAAAGATATTTCGTCCTTGACGTGCGAGTCCCAGTAGTCGGCGAACCGCATCAAAGCAGGGTAAAAGTCATTGGCAGTAGGATGCGCCTTCAAGGGCAGGAACTGCTTGTAATCCAGAGCATACTTCTGTGCACGCAGGACTCCGCCCTTGACATACTTGATGGAGAACCAAATGTGAACGATATCGGGATCTGGAGAGTCGACGTCGGCGAATGTAGTGATATCGACCCAGTCGGTTGTGTCAACAAGGCCCCGGTAAATCTTTCGAGAAGCAGGCATCCATCCGTTGAGCAAGCCATCGAAAGTGTAATTAGAGTGAGTTCCGTCTGCAGCCTCCGACATGTCATTCCAGGGTGCGTAGTTCTTTGTCATGGACTGCCAGTCCAGGGCCATCGTATCGTTAGCCTGGACGTTTCCAAGGTACACATCCCACGGTAGGAAGGACAGGTCGATGACGTCGCGAACGTGTTCCTCAATAGGTTCGCCATCTTGGAGAAGACGCTCTGCCAACACGTCATTCTGCTTAAGATTGACATCATTTGCAGGATCCAGGCCAAAATATGCGTCCACCGTTCGGTTGATAGATACAGACTCGTCCGTGGAGGCTTCAACGTATCGCTTGATCTCTCTGCGAGTTCCAGAAGCAGACATCAAGACGAGCGGGCCATCGAATCGAGTGATGTCTTCGTATGCCGTCCATGTTTCCCCATTGTAAGTAAAGGTGTCGATGGATGTTAGTCCATCAACGGTCGTTTCTTGTCGAGGATTCAAGTGATCCGCGGAAGTGCTGTCGGGAAATCCAGTATAGTCATTACCGGAGAATTGTGGCACCTCATGGTACGGTTTTGGGTGCTTGACTGGACCTCTTCCGGCCAGAGATGTAAGAATGAAAGACGAGAAAAAGAGTGACTTGATAAAAGAGTGACGAGGCATGGTTGCAAATTTTGCCCAGAGGGCACTGACAATCCCTAAAACGAAAAAACCTAGCCTAATTTCCAGACTGCCAACATCGCAACTTGGGGTTTTCATTGATTTATACTGCATAGCAGTCATCAATACCTGTTAAGGCCGAGACTATTATGGGCGTCTCGTACGCGTGCACCGAGTCAGGCAAATGCGCTAAGAAACGTTAATTGACATCATGCCGCATTACCGGGGAGAAGTCATATTCTCCTACGGTTTTTTGTAAGGAAACAACCCAAAATCTCCCCATCATCAAGTTGAAGGAAATGAGGCATGGGGATCCGAGAACTCTTTTATATTAGATAAGGTTTAACTTTGGGCAGTCTAGCCTATGTAAGAAGGTCTCAGCTTATTTGCTCGCGAACCACAACTTGAACCAAATGCGCGCGGTCCAATTCCTATTCCTATACGCTATTTCTAATTTCTGAAATTCTTGTGTTCAGAAATTCTCACTACAAGCACGACCTTATGTATTCAGCTCATGTATTCTTGATGTCGTGTAGTGGATGAATGCTCTTTCCGCAAGTTCCGGCAAAGATTGAAAGGGGGCTCAGATATTAGAGTTAACAGGGATACCCGTGGACTTAGATGGTGTGGCCGCTGTCTAGTGCAGAAACGACCCCTTTGGTGGAGTTCGTTGACTCTGTTACTGTCCGCTCAAGGCAGTGGGAGGCTGGGCTGGCCCTTTATCTTCGGAATCTGCATGTTGTCTGTATTAGCAGAGCAAGTTTTGGAATCATTCGGATCCGAAAATCGGCCTTGATGAGACCCAAGTAGAAATTCGATGATTATTTTTAAGCATTGAACTTCAATTAGCCTAAACATGGGAGTCACCAACTAACTCTGGAGCAGTGCTGACTCAACGCTTGAGAACTTCAAGTTGCTCTCGAGGTCCAAGAAGCCCAGGGTTGTGCATCGAACTCTCTTGATGCATAAGACTATGTCTTTCAATTGATCACCCCACTACGGTAGCACCACGGTCTTGATTTGTAAATTTGGGCTCTTGTGCTTGTCCAGTACGAGCTGCCGGTTTATCGAGCAGAAATTGCCAACTCCATCATTATTGAGATTGTAGCGGCGATCTAAGATCTCACAATGGCTGTTTACATTTCACTCACGGACTAGAAATGGTCGTCTCAAGACTCCTGATTCGTGGTATACAGCGCATCTAGCAACTCTACATCTTTTCGTCATTAATTGTACATCCATGGACAGCCGCTTCCATCCATGCTTTCGAATCCTGTTCCATCCTGAAGCCAATCTTGGTCCAGAAACATGCAATCATTACCGTTTTGATCCAGCGATAGCTGCTCGTGGAAGCCGATATCAGCCGGCATATCAAACACAGACTTCGTAGCAGGTTGTTGGCCCTTTTTCAAATCCATAAACTCCCCAAGCTCTTCCAGAGGAGAAAAATCAATATCGAGAAATCCAGATACCCCTGGCCGTATCGCACACCCAGAGCTTATGCTGTTCTCAACCTCTTGCGCCGCCCTACTTGTCTCCGTGGCTCTCTTCTCGGCCTCTTTCGCGGACCTCCACTTTTCAATCAAGCTTTCCAGCTCGGTGCTGGCTTTCTGCGCCACGGGATATGACTTTCCGAGCTCGGATAAAGCTTCAGTGGAACTCTGAAGAAGAACTTCATGGTTGCCTGGTTGTCCTGCACGAAGGTTGAGAAGATGAATGCTACCTGCGATGAAAACAAAGTGTACAATCGATGGCGGCATCTGTCGCATGTTGAAAGATCGTCTGTAAGTCGTTGCGAGCTTTGTGATGTTTGCTGCTGCTGTAGCGCATGCGTGTGTGGAGTTGAGAGCCGAAGAGTTCATATTGTCGACGTTGAGGAATTTTGAAGACAATCGGAGGAATGGCCGGTGGAGTAGAATGAGAGCAAAGTAGAAGTTCATTCTGCGTGGTTCTTTAGCTCTTGTTCTTGATCCTTGGCTGGCACGATCACATGAAGTCTTGAATATACTTACTGCAAGATGAAGACATGGGGCTGTGCCAGGATATTTGAATCGCTGGACCATGTCAAGCTCTTAGGAAGATCGTGATGCCACTGCCATAGGGCTCTGTGAAGTTGTGATGCTTTCAATCTCATCTCGCTCGTAGATGAGTGCCGCCGTTGACGGTGGATACTAATCAGTATCTTAGAACACAGCACTGAGAGTGTTGAGGTGTGATGTAAAAGTGACGAAGTCGATTCGGCTTCGTCTTTGCTGACGCCTTTGAAGGGTCGCTCAGGTATGGGAATGGTGATATCCCACTCCATAAAGGAGTTTGGTCGCCCACAGTAAGCGCTGAATAGACTGATTACAATTGACTGTTAGTCACACGACTCGCTGCTGGGAATGATCAAGTCCGGGTTGGTGTACTTACTTGTCTTCAATGTGGCAGCCCCAAAATACTCTCCTTCTGAGATCGGCCATCTCCTGGCTCATCTTTCCAGACGCGACAGCTTTAGAACAGTCCAGATGTAGGCCTAATTTACTCGCCATTCTGAAGGCAATGCCTATAGTAAAGACATTAGTGGATGGACATATCTTTGTGACCCAAAAATGCTCTCACCACTGTACATCCAACCAAGGGAGTTGTCCTTCATGGCTCCATATCGAGAACCAAGTATCAAAGCTGCCTGGACAGTGGAAATGGTCGGGTGATCCATCTCTAGATCAAACATTGAGCGTGCTCGCTTCGCAAAAGTCTCTCCGGCGACACCGCCGGTAGAAGTAGAGTACCGCACGACTCCCTTGTCAAGACTTATCATCGATGCCAGAGCCATGATTGCGTACAACAGACACGGGGTATAAAAGTTTCGATCGCCGCGGTGTCCTTCACTATCGTCCCAAATTTCCCGATGGCGGAGGAATAAAGCACGATCAACGACGAGGAGGTGAGATGATTGCCATTTCCAGAATAGGTCTAGCAAATGGGACACAATTGGTTCTGGCTCGGGAAAGCATTCGAGAGCACCGCGAGCTTGTCTGCTCGTGTCGTCCTCGAAAGAAGAGCCTTCCCCGAGTGGGCTCCTTGATCGAGACTGATTCTCGGAGTATGGAAATAGGGTCGCAGAGCCAAGAAATTGGTCAAAGTCTTGCATACTATCGGGTGTCCCAATCTCTTCCATGACGGGAGGGACGCTCTCGGAGGCGCAGTCAAAGTCTGGCCTGCTGGGGCCTGAGAAGGAGATCGATCGGATGCCATTGTGTGTGATGTCGTCGGTCTTCGGTCTGTTTTGCCCCGAGAAGGATACAGATCTTGAGTGCGAAGCGGGGTGAAGCTCCTGTTGCGACGTCACAGCCCAATTGTTCTGTTTTCCCTCCGGAGGAGAGATCGATATCGTCATATTTTGAGTCCCCGGACTTGAAGAGCTGGCAGGGCTTGGGAAGGCACGTATCCTCGCATCCTGGTAGTTGTCTACAGTCCGTCGTGCCTGTTCCATCAGACAATCCGAAACTTCATCCGTCTTGTGCCGTGTGACCGGGAGCTCTGGGTTTTTGGAGACGTTCTTGACAAACTCCTCTAGTGCCTGCATTCGCCGTTGCAGTGCCTTGGTCTCGTTCGGTTGTCGTTGACTGCGCTTATCCTCGCCGTAGCGGACCTCACACTTTTCGTTCTTGTTTCGACATGAGGTGCAGGACCGGTCCATTCGGTCCCCCGAGCTCAAAATTTGAGAGATGTCGCATCGTCTCTTGTCTTTCTTGCATCGTACGCATGCGAAACTCGCGCGGCTCGCGTGTCGGTCTCGGGTCATGATTGGAGTTGTTGAAGGTTGCTCAGTTGCGTCTGCTTTCTTTCTCCCTTCTCCAGTCAGCGTGTAGGATGTGGGAGCAACTATCAGAGAGAATTGAAAGATTTGAATCTCGTGGGGGGAGGGCGGTCACGATGAGCAACAAAGTCAGGTACGTGGGGGTATAATGGGCCCAGAAAAAAGTGCGACACACGACAGCTAACTTTGTTTTGTTGGTCACGATCTGCTATTCTAAGATCAGAAACGGCGGGCATAAAGGGCCCCGGCATTACCCATCTCGGATTAGGACCCTTCGTCCCAGCACAAATCGCAACACACCCCCCTAGGTAAGGATGATGGTAAGCGTGGCTATATGGCCGTGTCATTGGAGAAGGGCAGCCAATTGTCGTCAACCAACAGCATTGGCACTGCAATGAAGTACGTGGAAGGCGAGAGCTGTTTCTCGGCAGCTACCACTGCGGCACGAACACCGGACGCCAGACGCCGCGCAGTCCGGGCAATCGTAGGATGAGGGGGAGGCAAACGGCAAACGGGAAAAGTTGACAGACTCCCAGGGGTTTGACTTGTAAGACATCCTTGTGGAGTGTTTGGCTCTTTCAGTTCCCGTCTTGTCAGTTATTGGCCCTGGTCGATATGTACACATGGGCTTGTCATGGCTCCGATCTCGGCATGATCTTGCGTACAGATTCCATTATCGAGGGAATCGAATCTGAGATGCGTGTATCAGTCTATCCAAACTCCCGGTGTCAGCATTGAACTATCCGTTTGCAAAAACTCACGGTGAGCAGAACGTCGCTAGATCCATTCAAAGGAGCCTCAAGTCCCCAAAAAACCTTGCCCCCGCGAACCCCCAGACTCCGCAAGTTGGACCCCCTTGAACTCAAAAAGGATTGACCCGGCCAACCCGCCACTGAGATCACGTCTGTGCCCCGGACCTCGGATTGCCCAAACAGGTAACCCGGCGCATACGATTTCCCCGGGACCCTCAAGCGCCCCCATAGTTCCGGTTCTAGTCTCATCCAACAACAAAACATTCGCGACGTTGGGGTTGGTAAGTCCCAGTTTTCCTTCCAATATCCAAAAGTCTGGACCTCAGGAGAGCAAGGCCGCATGACCACGTCAAGGAACAAGCCAAGAGCTGAAGCCTCCCGGCAAGCTCGAACAGCTCAAAGCCTCGAACAACAACCCAAGAGATCCGGCCGCTGGAACACTTATGCGGGGCAGGCCCCGCAAGATGTGTTCATGTGTACAGCTTTTTCTCCCGGGGGTCAGAGAGACGGACGGTGGGAGTATGTCATAACTAATACGAAGCCTGCGGAAATGTGGCAATGATTCACATTCCCACGGTTTCCCCCCTCCCGGAAGAATGCCCCGGATGTGAGCCGCAGCCAATGCGAACGGTGCGGAGACGTGGCAAAACTTTTCCGCAATCCTGGGGAAAGGGGTCTTTCTGATGTTACGTCTTTTTGAGAAACTCGAGCCGCTGACACTTAGAACCCCGGTTTCCATGCCTGCCCTTGGGGAAATTGGCGTGTGTTCGAGAGCGGAGCCTCCGCCGAGCCGAGTTCCCGAACCGAAGTCATCCTGTCAACACGGGCGAGGGAAGTGCCATCGTGAGTTGGTCATCAGGCAGGTTGGGCCATAGTCCGGTGGGAGCGCGATTACAATCTGCAAATTCATACGAACTTGCCTCGAGATTACACCGTTGTATGGTCTGTGATCCAAGTAATGAACATAACACATTGAACGTTGGCTGAACCCAAGGGAGTGATGCTATGTGGAGTTACATGTATGACCCCTATGCTGATAAATTGATCTAGGCGAAAGGGGACTCTACCAAAGAGCTGAGAGTCGTGCCTCGACTGAGGATCAAGTTACCTAAAGCCGGCACGGCTATTAAGTGAGAAATCTTTTCTAAGATAGAGTGCTTGTGAACTTACTGAACAGCTTTCAGCTACAGCATGATTCACGTATTCGGCCTCTTCTAGCTTCGCTAGTGGTCCCCTGTTACCTCTATTGGTCAATCTGACCTGCCACAAGGACCTGATGTCTTGACAGTTTGATGGCATATGCTGCTTCCCTGTCTTTCCCGGCAGTTTGGGCGCCCTCAGGAACGGCCACTCGGGTCCCGACAGCGTGGATGCTCGCCGGCAGATGAGAGTGCTAAGCTTCTGGGCAGAGCCTTAGTCTACCATGTGTAAAGTGCTTGCATGTCGCTGGACCCCCTGACATCTTTGATCCATTGGCGAATCAAGCGTCGGGATGAGATAGTCAACTCGGAACGATGCTGTCATACCAGCTCCGAGGCCGCTTGTGGATCATGATCTCAGGGCTAACAGGCTCCGACCCGATGGCTGCAGTTTGCTACTTTGATCAGAGCTGGTTTCAGCAACTTAGAGTGTTACTGCGGCCTTGGGTATGAGGCTATTGGCTGACAACTCTCATCGTGTTTGCAGTGAGTGTATGGCGCGTCTATTCGTTTGCCCCAGATCGAACCAAGGCTAGACCCAGCAGCTTGTAGAGCTCCGTACTTACTCAAATATTCACAAGGCCCAGAGTGACAATATCACCATAGTTGACCATCTAGCCATGAGATCGACAAGAAACTATAAATCGTTCTAGGGTAGACTGCCAGTTGTATAGCACTTCTCCTAGTGTGTAATAATGGTGGCTCAAGAGACCAGGCTAAAGTTAGTACGGAAATGAGGCTTCACGATGATGAACTTGTCATTATTTTGGCTAAATTGGCGAAGTTTCATGGAAAGGCCTGTCATGTCGATGCTCGGAATTGCCAAAAATTTGAAGCGATATTGAACATGAAGAGTTTTGGTAAATTCAATCTAACGCTAAATTATATGTGAAAATGAAGGTACGAAAGATAGGCTCAGAAAATTCAAGCCATGCCGGATTGCAAGCCCTTGATGGCAACCATTGCACCCCAGGCACCAGGATCGGGGTGGAATGACGTATCCTTCCCAGACGCTGCGACATACGTCGCACGACCAAGCTTAGCCTTTGTCTTCCTCGTGTACTCGGCTCCCTCGACAGCTGCCTCGACAGCTCCCTCGAAACCCTTGCTGCGAATTGCATCAACAAAGGGGATCAAGACATCCAGGATCGTCCGGTCTCCGATCTTGGCGGGTGTGTAATGACTCAAATGCGCAAGAGCAGACGTCAGCGCCAGTGTCCAGAGAGGCAAGATACCTTGCGACTTTGCCAACGACGCGTTCTCCTCTACGGAGTTGCTGAGCGAGACGAAGAAAATGCCGAGGATACCACCAAGCGTACCACCCATCTTGCTCTCAACAATGTCCTCTAGCTCATGAAGAACTGAGACGATGGATCCCTCGGCTGCGATACCCTTGTTGTCTAGAGCATCAAGGAGATGCGAAGCGCCCGTTTTCAGGGTTTCACCGCAGTCGCCGTCACCCATCACCATGTCCCACTTTGTCAGATCAGGCTCGGCTTCAATGACTGCCTGGCAAGCCATGTTCAGCATCGACCTGAGCGTTGCCGGGTCCATTCTCACGTCGCGGTCGGCCTCAATCTTCTTTGGCTCTTCAGGAGGTGACTGCACGAACTGAAGTTTTCTGTCGCGGCGGACAGCTTGGGCGCCAGCCATCGACTCCCAGTGTGTGTTGGTCTTGAGGTCGGCGAATTGGAAGATTTGCTCTGCTGAGAAACTGCACTTCTTTGATGCCGCTGTGATGTTCATCAAGGAGATTGAGAATGCAGGTGCGTTGAGAGAGGTTTCGAGAGGGCCGGAGTACACTCTTGACGGTCTGATGTTCCACTTGGTGTCGAGCTGCTCGAGGAGCTCGTCGACAAGAGCGCCCATTTCCAGGTAGGAGATGCCTCCGAAATTGCTGACAAGGAGGATCGTCTCGTCGTCGTTGTTGAACTTGACATAAGCTCGGTCGTGATCCTCCTGGTCCAGGCAGTACCGCAGCAGCTGGTCAATCAGGCCCTCTGCAGTAGGCGCGGGCGAGACCTTGCTGTAGCCGGGCTCATTGTGAGGTCCGGTTCCCACCTCCACCTCGTCGGCGCCCAGACGAGCGTGCTCTGTGCGCCCGGGAACATGGCAGTGGTCCATGGTGGCCGCGATGGACACAATTTCGGACTCGACAGAAACACCAAGCTTGTGGATGTCATCGAGAGTGCCGGCCTTGACGCCAGCTGCTCCACTGATGACTTTGAGAACACCAATCTGCCCAGCAAGACCTCTGCGTCCTACCAGGCTACCACCTGCCTTTCCAACAGACACATCGTCACCGCAGATGATCATGCGGCAGTTGTGCCCACGACTACGTGCCTTTTCTGCAGCGAGGCCAAAGTGGAGGCAGTCGCCGGTGTAGTTGGTGATGACAAGGATCGTGCCCACATCTGAGGGCACACGCTCAATGGCAGACTGAATTTGCTTCGCAGACGGGCTGGCAAAGATATCTCCGGATACGGAGGCCGCCAGCATGTTATTGCCGACATAACCTGCCCATGCGGGCTCGTGGCCGGAGCCACCGCCAGAGATGATGCTGATTTTGGACTTGTCGTATGTTGAGTCAAAGACCACACGGTTTGACTGGTCCAGACCAAGGGAAGGGTTGTATGAGATGAACCCTCTGAGAGACTTGTCAACGAGTCCCTCTGAGGAGGGAAAGATGTGGCGGTCGGACATGATTTGTGATGGTGCTTCTATCTCTACTTATGTGTAGAGGTATGGGATGTCGATGAAGCTCACGAAACAAATTGCAAAACTGAACAATATGAGCTTCCTTTGATATTGAAGTTCGATTTGAGTCTGATAATTATCACAGAAAGGCCCATCCTGATGCTGACCAGTCGATATCATATGTGGTGTGGTCGGTTGATGGTGTGCGATTTTCCGGGGACCCAGTAAATCGGTCGTGGGTGCGTCTCGACCCCGGATTTCCGCAGCGGAAGATCGGCTAGGGGGGTGAGCCATCCGCGACAAATCACACCCACATCGATGCACATGGCGGTCTCGACGCTTTATAAGTAAGTATTGTAAGTCGTGGCGGTAGCGGCCTTTGGTACTTTCTTATACTCGTCTCCAGACATCCGAGTAATCAAGGAAATTTCTATCTCCAGATCCGTCTTCAAGCTTCACCACCCCGCATCATACAAGAACATTCAAGATGGGCAGCAACCCGGTTTCCAAGTACCGCATCGTAGTCGGATGCGACGTAAGTCAGCAAAAGTGCCTTGCTTCTCATAACATGAGACTGACACCCAAACAGGAGGCTGGCATCAAGTACAAGGACACAATCAAGGCAGACTTCGAAAAGGACGCTCGCGTTGAGTTCGTCGAGGATGTTGGAAGCCACGATGGCGCAGACAAGACGGCATACCCTCATAGAGCCGCCGCCGCCGCTCAAATGGTAGCTGACGGCAAGGCCGACCGCGCGCTGCTCATCTGCGGCACGGGGCTCGGCATGGCCATTGCTGCCAACAAGATCAAGGGCATCCGCGCTGTAACAGCACACGACAGTTTCAGCGTCGAGCGTTCAATTCTGAGCAACGACGCGCAGGTGCTGTGCATGGGTGAGAGAGTCATTGGTTTGGAACTTGCAAGACGACTAGCGAAGGACTGGCTTGGGTACACATTCGACCCTACGAGCAACAGTGCGGAAAAGGTTCACGTCATCAAGAGTCTGGAGGCTACGGCATGAAGCATTTTTTGGTTGCATTCCTTTTAAATAACGATTAATAAAAGCGTTCATTCTTCTTCCAAACGATCACCCTAAACCACATCTTTCGCAATGACATGCTAAGGTCTCATGTGAATCTGCGATCTCATATCCTGCGCCCTCATGGCACACATCTTAAGTCATCGGAAACTCCCAATGACTTGGTTCTTCATTCAGGCTTCGTAGGATGATATAAATATTGGTTGCTCTCACATGAACGTCTTGGCGAATGATGTTCGGGGCTACATGCAGAACCCGGTATACGCACCATTCGGCAGATCCTGAGCCCGGAGAGTCGTGACAAGCTCAGGGCCGGTGCGCGGTCCTATTCAATGATAAAGAAGTACTTAAGAGCGCAAGAACCCCTGCTTTTCTGTTTCTACGATCTTTCACTCATCCTGTTCACTCTCATAAGCGTGACCAGTGAGTCGAAATCAAGCTCGGGATGAGCTTGATTTAGCAGCAGCAGTAAGTCGGATTACAGGTGAGCTAGTTGATTCCTCACATAATATCCATCATATTGTAATTCCAATTTCTTAAAGACTCATATCTCCTTAAATGTGGTGTTCGTTCTTTCAGATGTCGTTCAAACTCTCGGCATTGACATTCAAGTTCGCCATTCCCTATTTCCCCAAGTCTCGATATTGGCGGGGCAAGATCTAGGTGAGCTCCGTCAGCTTTCCCAGCGGAAATTTAGGTGCACCTATTGCAAACGAAGAACGGAGAGATTGCAAATTCTCCGAATCTTGGATTGAGAACTTCGTCAACGTTTGATGCCATCGGACAACCGGGAAGCTTGACGATACGATGGGGAAGATTGCCGCAACGATGGGTCGAGTAACCGGCCGCAAGCCCCTCTAGGCGGGGTACAGTCCCGATTTTCCGCACTATTTGAAGTGCATGGCCCGGACGCTTCGTTCTTCGCACGCAGCTGAACCCGTGAAGCAACAGGTCAACGAGAAGCCATCAGCAGACATTGCGCAGAGAAGTTCCATACCCTCAAGATGACGATATCACCGAATAGGAGGCTCATCGGCCTTTCAACCAAGATGTACTTCCCGCTCCAACGCACGCTCGACTTCATCGCCACAGTTCAGACACAATTAGCCGCTCTTTCTCCAACATCTCTAGAGAACGTCGACATCTTCATCATCCCCGATTTCATCTCCATCTATCCCGTCAGTGAAGCCCTCAAGAAGTCAGCCGTCCCAATTCGGTTGGGTGCACAAGATTGCCACTGGGACGACTTTGGAGCCTTTACGGGAGAGGTCAGCCCGGCTGTCCTAAGCGAGACTGGTGTCTCAATCGTCGAGGTCGGGCACGCGGAGAGAAGGAGAATCTTTGGTGAGACCGACGAGGTCGTGGCCAAAAAAGCCGCAGCGGCGAGCAGGAATGGAATGGCGCCTTTGATCTGCATCGGCGAAAAGACAAAAGGAGACTTGAGTGTCGCACTGGGAGAATGTCAAGTCCAGATCGACCAGTCCCTGGCAGACGTGCCTGAGTCGGCGGAAGTCATCATCGCGTACGAGCCAGTCTGGGCAATTGGCGCAAGCGAACCGGCCAGCGAGGGCCACGTTATTGAGGTAGTCAAGGGTATCAGAGCTTTTGATAGCGTGAAGAGGAGAACCGGCACGACTAGAGTCATCTACGGCGGCAGTGCTGGACCGGGCTTGTTCGAGAAGCTGGGCGAGGCCGTCGACGGCCTGTTTCTTGGGCGGTTCGGCCATGATGTGCCAAGATTCCTCACTACCGTATCAGAAGTGGCTTCTTTCCAGGCTTAGACTCAATTATTTCAAAACTTAGACATATGATAGACACTGCGAATTTTCATTCGGGTCATTTCTAGACATAGTGAAGTTGATTCCGATTTCTTTTCCTTTTCTTTGGGCGGCAAGCCAAATGCTGTACTGGATTCTTGCATCGCTTACAGCTCCGCAGATTCTCTTCGCGCTTCCGAACCTCCAAGCGCCCCTAGAAGCCCCTCGTTTTTCGATGGCCAGACATTGCCGACGTTGGGCAAGGCCCGAAGAGTGTCCAGATTGTGGTTTCCAGTCTCGATAACCACCCCAGAGAAGATTGCATGATCGAACTTCTTCACCACTTTGGTTCTCTCGTCTTCTGTCAACTTGTTGATCAGAGCCTCTCTATCTTCATCCTGTGGCGCAAGCAAGTGTCAGCGCATCTGCGCACAGACGGTGGGCATTGGGCACACACCTTGCTGCTGCCAAACTCGACGATGAACTTTTCGCCCATTGCGAAGACAACACATGTGAATAAGAGTGCGAGAGGGTATGATCGCATTGGTCCAAAGCGGTACCGAAGTGCGTTTGGAGACTTCAATGTTGTTGGTGTGAAGTTGGGTTGCCCAGTGGCGTGCCGCCAGAAGAGCCCGTGATTACGTGCCCATAGGTGGTGCAACAATCACCTTCCTAAAAGGGATTCACAGCATCAACTTGCCTTTCAGTGCGCGTTCCTGTAGCGAAATACTTCAAGTCCCGTTCTCGCTCTCAAATTCCATTCAGAGTCCATACCTTTTTACAGTTAATCGGACGCAAGAGACTTCCGGAGGCCAGGTTAGCAGACGCCCTCTTTTACACTTCTGGAAACGGATTACCTAGACCAACAGTAGCTCAGCTCTGCGCAAATGGGCGTGTGGGTTTCTCAGCATAGGTACTATCCCTTGTAAGCAAGACTCGCTCAGCGGCTTTAGAAATGCATCTGATTACTGCTACTTTGACCAAAACATTCACTTTCCAACTTGCGCGGGTCTATCTTTGTTCTCTTCGGCCACGTGGGTTCCGAACGGCCCCCAAGAAGACATTAGCCGATGGTCGTAACGGTACTCGTCTTGACCACTAATACATGGCCGACATCGCAGGCCTGCGCCCTTTGGGATGCCCCACGTCATTAGTCCGTGTAGAAACTATTACTCACGCCAAAGAAAACCCTCAAGCTGAACTTCACTGGAGCTAACCAGACCTGCATTTGAAGTTGCATCTGCATTGTATCAAAACACGAGCACAGATTGGATTGGTAATCAACTCATAATATCTTTCGAAGAATTTCTCAACACTTACGTTAAGCAACTCCTTCCTATTTACATGCCCTATTCTTCCCAGAGTTAGCATTCACGATGTCGTACACCGAGGAGCAAATCGACCGGTATCTCCACCATATCAACTACCCGCGGGAGAAACATGCGTCAGATCGGTTGCAGCTCCTAAAGGATCTTCAGGCTCATCAACTTGCCCGAGTTCCTTTCGAGAGCTTGACCTTGCACTACTCAAAGCACCGCCTTATTTCCATTGATCTGGAGGACCTCTTCGACAAGGTCGTAGTGCAGGGAAAAGGCGGCTATTGCATGGAGCTCAATGCCTTATTCGGTGCCGTCCTCAAGGGGCTTGGGTTCACAGTCGTCAGCGTTGGTGCAAAGATCAAAGGCGACGAGAGGTTCGGCGGATGGTAAGCACTCATAAAGGCTTTTAACAACAACTCGGCGCTGATCTTGGACAGGTCTCATATGCTCAATCTCGTCACCATTGATAGCCAGCGCTACGTAGTTGACGTTGGTTTCGGTAAAGGGGCAACCATGATCCCCGTACCCTTGAACAAGGAGACCGGCCACGAGTTCACCACCATCGCTCCTCTGCGAGGTAAACTCGTCTACCAAAAGCTAGACCAGAACACGGATTCGAGTCAGCGCATGTGGGTATACTCGTCAACCGACACCGCCGACGGCCCCTTCCGAGAGCGCAACTGCTTCACGGAGCAAGAGTTCTTCCCTGAGGACTTTGAAGTCATGAACTACGCCGTCATGATGAGACCAACTAGCTACTTTGTCAAGACGGTCCTGTGCATGCGAACGATTCTGAATACTGAGACAAAGGAGGCAGAGGGTACCATTGTGCTTCATAAGGACGAGGTCAAGCGTAAGATTGGCGATAAAGTAGAGCTCCTGGAGACGTTGAATAGCGAGGCGGAACGCGTGCGGGCTATCGAGAAGTACTTCTACATCTCACTTACGCCCGCAGAACAGAAAGCCATCAAGGGAATGCCTCAGGAGTTGTTGGAGAAGAAGTAGCAGAGCTAAGCCGAAGTTGTGACATCTTCTGTTCTGGAACGTGGGAGGAATTCCCTGGCTTAATTATCGTCGAATCTGGGCGCGCCAACTGCGGCTTTTTCAGCTGCTAACTTTATCGAGTGGTCAACTTCCATATTTATAGATAGCTCGCCTAAGCATCCTAGCCTGTAAGTTCTAGATACTGAAGAAGAACTCGTTGCCCAGACAATTGACTTGCGGATCTCTTGAAGGATCTGTCATTTCGTTCGAAGTCGGCCCAAGTAAGATGCTACGAGCATCTTGCCAACTCCAGTCTATCTCATCCACCCCTGAATCAAAAGTAGGGTAATTGGTGTAGTGGCTCGTGTGCTGAAGACCTTCGTTCCGCAAAGTTGCATGTTCTTGGAGATGGAGTTGTTCCTCCTGGGCCTGTTCGACTCCGCCAGTTGTATCGAAGGCCCCATTCCCCGATTCCATATACTCATGCGCCTTGTAATGTGCAGACTTTCCTGATATCAAGGGCATGCCATGACGTATGATGTTGATAGTGCCGAGTGCAGGAACTTTGATCCGCAAGCACCGACTAGTACATCAAGCATCTCCGGAGCTGTCAGTAGATGGGTTCTTTAAATACCTTGCCGAGCGACTAGCAGCATCCGCTTCCATATCCAACAAGGCTTTCAATATAGAAGCGGTTTGCTCCAGTAGAGAGCCGCTATCGGAATGATCCACTTCCAACATGAGTTCAATGACTTCTTCGATCAAAGTACGATCACTCGCTCTCTGATGGACGAGAAAATCAACCACATCAGCGTCATGATTCCATCTCCCAATATGCGCTAGAAGCAGACTAAGGCACGCCGTGAAAGCGGAGAAGTCATTGGCTCTGCAACAGAACGAGATCTCGTTCGCGCATCTGAAGCTGATGTATCGACTCAGGAGCTCGCGGCTTGCGTTTGAACGCGCCGCTCTGCTGTATTCGTGATTCGCGCGGCAATTGGACCGTAGCATGTACGGGAAATGTAGGAGGATGAGCAGATTGAACTGCGTAATCTGGAATAGAATCCGAAGGGTGGTTTCAAGCTTTTCCCCTTCACTTATGATTGCAGGCCGCTGTCTAAGTCGTGTGTTTGGGACTAGCCACCAATCAGGGGGCATTTCTTGAGCTGACGTCTGCAGCATTTGGTCGATTTGTTGCGTGACACCGTAGTCCTCAAGTTGGATGCTCTCGTTCCTAGTAGCGATGCAGCGCATTATCTGACTGTGACGACGTTCAAGGTAGTCGCAAGGAGATTCCTCAGGGGCGAACTTGTGCTTTGCTGCATACGGATCATCGAGAGTTGTAGCAGGTAGGGCGAGCATTAGAGCCAAGTACCTCTCTTGACTTAAAATCCTATGCCACATGACTGATGCTGAGGCCTTTGTTTGGGGATCGAGCGTCACAAGTTTGTCTGGTTGATCATGATGCAAGCCCATAAGTTGGGCAAGACCGATAGCTCTTCGAAGCACCATCCAAGCGCAACGCAGGTTGCCCGCATTGGTGTGAAAGACAGTCTCAAGGATCAAGCATTCCAAGCCCTCTTGCGAGCCAGTGAGTTGATCATGTCCGGTCACAGAGGGGGCACCGCTGAGATACTTCTGCATGGCACCTTCCGCACAGCATCCGAGATCCAGATGGTTTGTATTGGGTGTAGAAGCAGGTAGATTCTGGAGGCCATTTGCGAGGTATAGCAATGTCCGGGCCAGAAGTATTGGATGGCTTGAGGAGCTGGGAATCGAAGAAAATGTCGAGGGTAGGCGTATTCTGCCCCAAAAAAATATCTTTGTAAGTTAAAGTGAAGAATTGAAGAAAGGCCGCATTGCGGCCCGCTGAGATTATCAAATCTGCATCTCGTTGTGATGGTAGCAATGCATGGATCGCACGAGACAATTGTCAATGTTCTTCATCGATGCTTCCGTTGGTCCTCGGTAGATTATTCTGCAGTGATTAGCCTTCGTTGTTGAACTAGCTTTTCCGTCAGAGTCGGGCTTGACGCGAGGGGGGCTCAGACGTACAATGACACTATCGAATACTTGAATGCTCAGACAGGGTGTCGCAGCTAAAGACCTCGACGGTGTTTCCGGTTGCGTAGACTCCGACCTTCGGCATGATACCCCGAGTTGAGTCTGAAGTTTGTTTCCCATTGACTACTGAACAGCACATACGCGGTCATTTCGTTCGCGATTTACAGCTGCCTCCCCTCAATTCCGGTCATTCGAGTCCCCGAAGTGGCCAAGATCGCGGTGCCACAGAAAGCATAACGTGGACTGGGCGGCTTCCGATTCCGCAACACTACAGGCTCTATGGCCGGAGGGATGAACATGATATTAAAACTCCAAGCATCAATCAACTTCCTTTCAGACGATCGAAAGTCCATGACTGCCTCGCCTTGAGAGTCCGCCGCCGGAGTCTTGAGGGACCGTAATATCCTGAATGCGCTCCGAGTTGATAACGCACAAGCCGAGTCCGACCTACTTTGGGCAGTATTCAAATATTAAAAGTAGCTGTAAACTAATTGCATGCTTCAAGGCATCCTTGCCAATCCATTTGTATTTAGATATCGAGTATCTTGTCCTAAAGTACACGAGTAGCCTTACGATGGTTATGAGTTGCGCCTATGCTCCAGCCACCACGGCCAAACCATCATAAATCATCCTCTTCACCTCATAGAACGTGCTACGGTGCTGCATCATGGTCGCCGCATCCGCAATACCCACGCTCTCCACCTCAACCTTGCCTGTGCTCGTCTTCCGTACCGCCACCGCGCCGTTGATCACCAACGTACCCTCGCCACGGAACTCGGCCGTGTATCCCGTCGACTGCATCGCTCGCCGCAGATCCGTGAGCCTCAAGTCACCCACGTGTAGCGGCTGTGCGACCGAACGCACCGCAGAAGCCATGTTTGAAGGCAGTAGGTCCAGCGTGGGTACTACTTCGATCTCGGTAGTCTCGTCTTCCCCGTCTTCCTCCTTCTTGACTTCCTCAACGGCTTCAGCGTCTTCAGCCTCTGTCTTCTGCCTCTTGTTGGCCCCGTCGTCTTTCTCGATGAGCTTTTCCTTGGCCAATGCCTCGGCGATAAGCTGGCCTGTGACAGTCACGACGCCCAAGCCGCGAACGTTTTGCCACTTGAGCTTCTTAACCAAGCTGTCTGCAAGTTTGACCACCCATGCGTTGGTGTCGACACTTGCGTCTACCCAGGCACCCATCGCTGGCGTGTAGACATCGATCGCGCTCTCCTCGGACGCACCAATCTGGGCGGCTAGCAGTTTCTTGCAGTCTACTGCGAGGGCTGTTGTCTCGTCCGCAGTGCCGCCAACTAAGATGAGTTTTCTTGGCTGGATCAATGGAATCAACATGTTCAAACTCCTCTTGTCGTGCAGTCCACTGAAATCAATGAACGCGATTCGCAAGTTGACCATGACCTTCTCTGTCGAGACGATCAACTTGGAAGGACCCTGTATCTCCTCCTCAGCAACGTCCTCCACGTCGTCAAACTCGTCAGCGACATGATCACCTGGGGCATTGGCGTCCAAGTCATCCACAGACCCTGCCCTATTATTTTGGCGCTTGTTTGCTGCTTTGTTATTGCCGTCATCCCACTTGCGCTTCTTTCCAAGTCGGTCGTCATCGTCATCTCTCCTCAGACCGTCGTTGTCCGGTGTATCTTCTTCCTTTTCCTCGGCACGCAAGTAATCTTCGGGGCGGATCACATCTCCGAATTGGTCGTCTCGTCTCCTTCGCATGACGAGAGGGAACGATCGTTCGCGACCCTTCTTGCCTCTCACATCGAAGTCATAAGCACCGCGCTTTTTTGTCAAAATATTGATGCCGAGGTCCTCGTCTGTAAGAACAACCTTCTTACGTGTTGCCTGACCCATGGTTGTTGAGATGTTGAGGGCCTTGCCCTGCTGCTCGTTATCGGATTCGCCAGAGTCTGACGAGGATTCGGATGAGACATCGTCGGCAGCATCTGCGGGTGCTTGCAGGGAAGCCCCGCCGCCACTTTGCAGCGTAGCTTGAAGCTGGCGTTGAGTCGCGAGCCACTGCTGGTACACATTGAGTTCTTCTCCCTCCAATGCTTGCCTCTTGGCCTCCTGAATCTCCAGCTCCCTACCGCCACCATAGACAAGCTCAAGACTGTTACCATTGCTCGACTCCTCCACCGAAGCGCCATCTCTTCGTTCAGTCCACCAGTCCCAAAGGGTTCTGGCTATTGATGGTCTTTCAGTCTGTGATTTGGCTGGCTTATCTGTGAGGATGACCAAATTCCTGGAATCTTTCGCAAGACCCTGGATCAAGTCTTTAGAGAAACCCCATTCCAGAGTATCGTCGCTTGCAAGAATAACCCTTCCTTCTGCTTGAACATTATCCGCGGAGCCCGAGAGGAGCTTCTCGATTTGTGCCCGGCGTTCAACAAGCTTCAGGTATTTGAAGTCAAATGGAACGCCTTCCTTGCTCTTTCCTTCGGTGCCATTGGTACGCCGTTGCCCATCAGCAACTGATTCGAACTCCCTAACGATATTGTCGTCCATCCACTCCAACATGCTTCGTGCATATCGCAGAGTACTCGACATGTTCCGTCCAGCGAGGTAGAGTTTCGCTGCTTTGAGGCTGCCGCCGTCCGTTTGTGAGTCTACTCTCCATGCTTGTTCTAACATATATGCAATCTCCAAGACACGTGCGCTTGAGTCCACTGGGATGAGTGCCGTCCCTCCCCGGCTGACGCAGGATTTGATCATGTCGACGAGCTGCTCATCGCGTTTTGCACGGCCTCCGGCTTGGGCAACCTTTTCTGCACCTCTACTACTGCACACCAAGGCCGTCGGCTTGCGCAGCTGTTCGATGACTTCGGCACCACCACCTCCAGCGCCACCCAGCCAGGCAGCTCCAGCGAAGACATTCTCCTTCGCCTGATTCCAATCTACAGCGTAGACAATTGACTCCAGACCATGCTGAATATGCCATATCGTTCCTCCGAGAGTGTGGCCTGCATTGTAGGCCGTGATCATGAGGCCATTGAGCGGCGGCGAGAAGGGAGACGGAAGGGGTTCGTGGGGTTGCGAGTACTTGAGAGGCTGGATTAGGGAAAAGTATCGAGTAATCTCCTCGGGGGTTGGTGCTTGCAGAAGAAAGTCGCTGTCGGCCGTTGGTTGCTGAGAGAAGGAGTATGCGGCCTCGGTCAGGGAGCCGTGGGGTATCTTTGTCGCGGCTAGAGGAGTGGATGCATAGAGGTCTTGGGTCAAGGTGCGACCTAGATCAATGACAGGTCGGGTAGCGTATACGGGGATTCTCGTGAACAAGGGGAAGTTCTTGCAGCAATGGGCAAATGCAGCCAAATGCGATGTCGTGGCGTGTGTCAGAAGGATGATGGACAAGGTCGGAACCTGTCTGGAGGAATGTCAGTGATTGTCGTGAAGGACGCCCAGAGTAGGGGAAGGGCCTGATTACTTTTCAAGCTCCCGAAGCTTTTCGACATCAAACGACTCGTCCCAGCCAAGATCTATGAGAATCTTAACGCCTCCATCGAGCTCCAGAATCGATTGCGACGCTGTTGAGTCGGAAAGGGCGCCCTGAAGAGGGCAAAAGGTAAACATGATTGGTATCTATTCGGCAGGGCCGCAATGCATTGTCTGGAGGTAGAAGTAGTGGGATTGATTCGACACGGAGTCGCTTCAAGGTGCAAGCGCAAAAGCAGCGACCATAACGCTGGCGCGCAAATGTCAGATAATAATCTCGTTGTCGTCGCTGTTGCAAGCGCAGTGAGTCGTGGGGTTTGAGGTTCAACGGAGGTGTCGCGTAAAAGAATCTAGGAACCAAAAGTCCAAGGTTGCATGCGCTCGCTACGTGCAAGGTGCTTGGGGTACGTACCGCTGCGCAGGACTGATCGGAGAGCAGGGGCCAGCTAAGGCTCCGTCATTGAAGAGTGGGTCAACCCCATTCCAAGTCCCCCTTCTCAGGCCAGGCATCGGGATAGCGGCGACTTTCTTCCGTTCCTTATTAGGACTAGAACCGTTTTCTTCGATTCAGTGGAGACATACCCGGCTCTGCGGGATCCAACGGACAGCTGCTGGAGCTCCCGCATTGGCCAGGGCCGGGAAGGGCTAGATACATAGAAAGGTACCTCAGAGCACCTGCCAAAAGAACTCCGGGCCTGGAAAAACAGATCGGAAAGTTATCGTGTCAATTTGGCCCGGATCCCTGTTGATTCGTGCGTCTGGCCAGAGCATCGAAAGGGGACACAATTCAAGCTTGTCACCTTTCCAGAAGCTCGGCTTGTTCTCGACTTTGCCGCCAAACATCCCATTTCCACGTTTCTGCAAGGCATGGCGCGCTCTTGATTGCGTGCGCGCATTTCTATTCAATCCCTCTGCGAGTTTTCGACCTTGATACCCGATTCTGACGGTGCACAATAGCTAGCTGGCCGTGCCTCCGAACCTCAGCTTTTGAAAGCTACGGTACCTTCATTAGCCCGCATTTAATTCGACTCCCCCGAGCAATCGACCACGAGCTTCCCATCACGCAACCCTCCAACACACCGACCACCGCCCATTTCTGCAAACATGTCTGACTTTAGCATGTACCACCAGCTGGGCCAGGGCGAACAAGACCCTTCGAACCCCAATCGATCGACGCAGCCCGCACCTCCCCAGTTCTCCCCTCCCGTCGCGGGGCAGCAATACCAGCAGGGAACTCCATACGGCGCCCCTGCACCTCCAGGACAGCAATACTATGGAGGCCAGCCTGGTTCCGCACCACCTCAGGCACAGCCGTATGGGGCCCCTCCAGGTCAGGAGTATGCGCAGAATCCTGGTTTCCAGTCTCAGGAAAACTTGGCGGCGCAAATGGGAGGCATGTCACTCGGTGATGGACACGGTACAGCAAGGAGGAAGAAGAAGGACCGCCACGCATACCACCAGGTCGAGGCGACAGGCTCGTCGCAACCCTTCAACGGAATCCCTGCTGCCGGCACGAATGCCACGGCCTTCCTCAACGACCCTTCGCAAGCTCAGTATGCTCAAATGAACCAGTTTCCCGTCGCCGCGGGCCAGACATTTACACCCGCCAATCCCGCTTCCCCAGCTGAATTTGCGACCCGAAACGGCACCGATGCTGGCGGACCCCCGGCTGTAGTTCAGACTTCCGG